TTTTAAGTCCTCTTCCTTTCAACAAGCAAGGCTGCATCATCTGCATATGCAGGCTGTCAATTAGTCATCCTCCAATCCTGATGCCACATTCTACATACAGTTCAGCTTCTCACATTATTTGCTCAGCGTACAGAATGAATACATACGGTGAAAGAATACAGCCATGGCGCACACCTTTCATTTGCGAACACCTGCTTCTTAGTCTACGTACAGGTGTCTCATGAACACAAGTATTCTGTACTACTCATTCTCAGTGTTGCCCATAGTTTATCATGATGCACACAATCAAAGCCTTTCCATAGTCAATAAAGCGAAGGTTCACATCTTTCTGGTGGTATTCGCTGCTTTCAGCCAAGATCCATCTGACGTCATCAGTGATGTCCCTCGTTTCACGTCCTCATCTGAACCTGACTTGAACCTCTGGCAGTTTTCTGGCAGAGTACTGTTGCCATCATTTGTGAATTAACGTGAGCAAAAATTTACTTGCATTAATGGTATTGTCCAATTTCTACACTCTGTTGGGTCACCTCTCTTTGGAACGGGCACAGATATGAATCTCTTTCATTCAGGTGACCAGGTAGCTGTCTTCCAAATTTCTTGGCAGAGATGACTGAGTGCCTCCAGTGCTGCATCAGTTTGTTGAAAGATTTCAGTTTGTATTCCTTGGATTCTTGGAGCCTTTTCTTTGCCAGTGCCTTCAGTGCATCTTGGATGTTTTTCAGTATCATTGGCTCTTGATCATATGCTACTTTTAGATATGAGGGGATTTTAAAAAGTTTGTGGAAAAATTAGATTGTCTTTCAATTCCATTTTTCCACGAACTTTTTAAACAGCCTTTGTATAAACCCCTCAGTTGGATAGGACCCCTGGTGTGGATCAGTGTGGATCAGTACTGGACTTTGAGCCATAAGGTTGGCAGTTCAAACCCACCAGCTTCCATAGAGTTTCTGAGACTGTAAAATCTTTATTGGGGCAAACGGCCTCTTTCTTTCCCAGAGCAGCTGGTGGGTTTAAACCACTGACCTTGAGGTTAACAGCCTGATGCCTAACCCACAGCATCATCAGGGCTCCTTAAAAGAGGGAAGGGGAGAGGGTATTTCACAAGTAAAACTACTCCGTGCTGAACAGAATCAGAACATTGGTTGACTAGGGAAGGGGCATGAGAGAACTTTCTGGAATGATGGTAATGATCTATATCTTTATGGGTCTGGGTTACATCAGTGTGTCATATGTTAAAACATAAGATCTGTGCATTTTAACAACAGCAGCAAAAAAAACTAAAATACTAAACTCCAGGGAATTAATGATAGGACTCATGGTGTGGATCAGTACTGGACTTTGGGCCGTAAGGTCGGCAGTTCAAACCTACCAGCTTCTCCTCAGAAACCCTATACAGGGTCACTATGAATCCGAACTGACTCAATGGCACTTACCAACAACAGGGAATGATATGCTTACTAATGGGTGTAGAGGTGATTTATAATTGATACTTCTAATCTCTCTGTCAGATGGAAATTCATAAACATAATAAGGTGGATTCCAAGATGGACAGATGGAGACAGAGGGGAACATGACAAATAGAGCAAAATATTAATCACTGAACATAGACAGTGTGTGGGGATATGGAGTTCATTTGTAGAAACTTCACCGTGTTCGAAAACTATCGTCTTAAAATTTGGGGAAATTTTTTTGTTTAATAAATGACTGAAAATGAAAAGCGCTGTTTTATTTAAATATCGCCTGATGCTCTGTTCTCAAAGTCTAATCAGGTGGAAGGGGGAAAGTATTTCACATAGTAAAACAAATCTGCACTTTATTTCCTTCTAGACTCTCTTGAATTGTCAGCTCTTTGGCACCTGTCCTTTGTAAGAGGTTCAAGGGTTTCTGTCACTTTCTGAGGGAACATCTAAGGCTATTAAGGGATTATCACTACCTGAGAGTTCCTTCTAAACCATTAGATTTACTCTGTGAGTGAACCTGAGTGAACTCCGACCTCCTCGTGGCTCAAACTGACTTTGTGGTCCACAGTGTCACACAGGACTTTGGTTCACTACGGTGGTGGGTGTTACAGCAAATAGTATTCTTTTCCTGATTTCCTTTTCAGAGTTGTCTTGGTTAGTGTAGCTGAATCCAGCTGATTTCTGTATACTCATCTTGTCCCCTGCCACTTTGCTGAATCCTTCTCTGAGTTCCAGTAGCTTTCTGGTAGAATCTCAGGGGTTTTTTTAATGTATAGAATCATTTCATCTCCAAATAGGCAGTTTTCCTTTTTCCTGGCCAATATGGATGCCTTTTGAGTTCATTTACTAAAAGTAAATCTTTTAGTCTTACAAATAATACATCAGTAAATATCCTTGTACCTGCAAGTGTGGATTCAAACAAACAGATTTGTGTATGTGTCAAATATGAAACGGACATATGGAAGTAGATAAAAGAGTAGGGTGAACTCCCATATACCTCTCAGCCAACTGTAACAGTTCCCACATTTTTGGAATTCTTGTTTAGTTTCTACCTTGTACCTATTTCTTTTGGCTACAGTAACTTAGAGGCAAATTCCAGGCATTAAGCCAGTCTACTGTTAGGGGTTTTAAGACATTTTCCTTTGGAAAATTTCAAGCAGATGCACAATCAAGAGACTTATAGGAATCTCCATGCATTCTTTACTTTGCTGTTTCCTTCTCTACCCCTCCCCCCCAATGTTTTCAGTTGGAGTATTTCAAAGCAAATATTAGACATTAACTTCTTCCATCTGTAAACACTCCAATCAAATACCATCATCTAAGCATTAAAGATCAAAACATTTAGAACTGGTTGTATTTAAAAGATGAGAAGAGTCAACTGCAGCTGCTAATGTGTTCGGTCATTCCAGTCCCTGCCCCCAACCACTTCGCTCTGAAGAAGGTGGATTTAAAAATAAAGCTACAGCTAGTAAACAGTAATGGAAATAAAAATGTCCGCTATGTGCTTAAAACCTGGGTGGAATTTCTCTTTGTGTCAGAAGAGTCTCAATGCATGGTTTATGTGGTAGATGTCTTCTGAGTTTTAAGCCTCAGTGGTTCTCAACTGGGGAGCCTGGTGCTAAATAAAAGGTCGGCAGTACAAACCCACCAGCCACTCTGAGGGAGAAAGATGCCACAGTCTGCTTCTGTAAAGATTGTTGTGTGTTGTTGTTACGTGCCTTCGAGTCAATTCCGACTCCCGGTGACCCTGTACATACAGACTTTCCAAGGAGCAGCTGGTGGGTTTGAACTACCGTCTTGTGCTTCATAGTACAGTGCTGATCCTACAGCAATACATCAAGAGTCCTCTGTAAAGATTATAGCCGTGAAAAACCCTATAAGACAGCTTTCCTCTGTTCTATAGGGTCCCTAGGAGTCAGAGCTGACTTGTTGGCAGTGGGGTGATTGTGCCTTCTAGGGAGCATATAACAACATCTGGGGTGGAGCTACTTGCGTCTAGAAGCTGAGGATACTGCTGACCATGCTGCAATGCACAGGATGGCCCCAAATGTCAAGGTTGAGAAACCCTTTTTGAGGACATTAAAAGATGATGTTTTACAGGACTTCTGACTGGTTTGAACTGGTTCAGTCTTGGCTGATGAAGAGAAACCAAAACAGACCTAATTTTATTTTGGGGTGGGTGGGTGGTGATTTGGAATGAGAAAAGTAATGGCTCGGCACCCTGGAGTGGGAGACTTGAATTGTTGTGAGCCGTTAAGACCATAGTGTGTGAGATTGGATTATTGCCAGCGCTGTGGAGAGCAGCCTGCTTTTATAGGGACTCTGCTGCCATCTTTGAGTGGGGCGTTGCTGCTTCCAACTCTGCTCAAAGTTCAGCAGGCTGGAGATGGGGTTGCTATGCAACAGGCACACTCCCCAGGTTTTCTAAGAGGGAGAGTAAGTGAGGAACAGGGATTCAGCCTGTAGGTTTTCCTGTTGATCTCTTCATTCCAGTTAACCCAAATTTAAAATGCCAGGTTTGTTTCCGTTTCCCTTCCTCAACTACGACTGAGCTGGAACCAACCAGTTTGATCACAAATATCTTCTCTTTGGCTCTTCTTCAACTTGCTGGTTACTGCTCAGTAAACATCCATCAGTGGAAATAAACATGTGTCAACATTTGCAAGTGTTGAATTGAAGGCATACTCTTCCCATCCAGAAAATTCCACTTGAAGTAACTTCATTCAGATCTCTCTTCCATCAATCTGATCCATAAGGGTTATTCCAGAAGCTTGTGGAACAAAGTATGTATAAAGTTGAGTCTCTGCTCACAAATAAGGCAGACTCTCTTGGAGAGCTTCCAGAAATAAAATCAGGCCACTTGTTGTGGCAGTTTAAGCGAACAGATAGTTGTAAGTGGTGTCAAGTCGGGTCCGACTCATAGCAACCCTGTAGAGGGTGTCTGAAGAGTGACTGATGGGTTTGCACTGCCGACCTTGAGGTTAGCAGCCCAGTGCTTACTCTATAGTGTCATACCAGGACTCCAAGTATATATAGATAAGAAACAAAACTTGTAGCCTGGGAAGGAAGAAAAGAGAGGAGAGAAAACAATAGCGTTTTTCATGAAGATTGTTTAGGAAGGCATGCTCCATCTGCATGGCTGTTCAGACTTGTGCGCCATCGAGTCGGCATGGCCTCACAGCTACTGCTTGTGGTAGACTAGAACTGCCCCATGGGGTTTCCTAGGCTGTAATCTTTATGGAACAGGGTGGATTGATCCTGGCTGCAAGAGTGGGCTCAATGTAACAATTGTGAGGGTGGTACAGGGCTATGCAGTGTTTTGTTCATTATGCCTGGGGTCACTGTGAGTCGGAACCGACTGGACGGTATCTGACAGCAGCTATGGCATTATGGGGTGTTCCTCTAAGCTGCTAGCTGAGGTCAGTCTTGTGACTCTTTCTGTTAGCAGCCAGGTAGTTAACTGTTGTACCATCAGGGCTAGAGTATGGAAACCACCTTTCCTGTGCTCAGGGTGTGCTAGACAATGGGGGGTGGGGAGGACAGGGAGATCCCAAATCGTGGTGACCTTATGTAATTCATTCTGTGGCTTGTTTCTTTCCAGATTGTTCCTTTGGAAAGTGGCTGTGCAGGATAACATGTCCAATGTGTCTGAGGAGAGACGAAAACGACAGCAGAGCATTAAGGAGGGGCTCCAGTTCATACAGTAAGCGCCCGAGACTTCACACCTGCTTAGTCTTGTCTCAGTCTTTGTGTTTTGGTTTTGTTTAAAAAAATGTGCCCGGACATTTTGCAGAGATTAAGGAACATTTCAGTCATGCTGAACAGATCCTATTAACTTGGGTTAGAAATGCAGTATTTTGGTTCCAGCAATCATTTTTGCTCGGGTGTATTTGAAGATTCTTTGTGTCCTGTTGTCCATTTTTAGGACTCGCATCCTCCCGCATCCCCACAAACTATTAGACTGAGGAACTTGAACCTAATCCCGTAAGAACAGTCGGATGAGTGAATAGTGACTGAAGACTAGCAGATGTGTTCTGAAATCTCATGCATGGAGCCTGGTCTCTAACTGGGCACTTCGCTACATGCACAGCCCAGGATCTGGGTGGGCCCATCAACTTCTCTGTTCCCTTTTGGGAAGGAGATAGTTTTTCTCCTTTATTTCATGTTGCATTAGATCAAATAGTATGAGTGGTGCTGGGCTATTTTTGGCATTTAAAGAACTAAGCTTCCTTTTAATAAAAGGATGATTCGAAAAGAAAATGCTGTACGTCCTGAAGGCATTACTAAAGGCATAGTTAGGGTTAGATTTTTTTTTTTTTTCGTGGCTACTGTCATATGTGACCAAAGGTATCTCACTACTAACCCACTGCTGTCGATCTCCCCCTAGGACACACCCTGGGGTTTCTGAGATTGTGAATCTTAACGGAAAGAGATGGATGTCCTCTTTGTCCCATGGAGCAGCTGATAGGTTCGAGCATCCAACCTTGCGTTTAGCTGCCTCTAGGGCTCCTGAGGGAGCCCTGGTATAGCGCTGTGGGCTAATGCGTCACACTGCAGAGTCGTTTGAACTGCAAGGTCGGTGGTTCAAGCTCACCATCTGCTCCTTGGAAACCCTATACAGGGTCACTATAGGTCAGAATCGACTCGACGGCACTTCACAACAACACAGGGCTCCTGTAACTGATGCTACTAAGAATGGTGCCTTTCACCAGTGGTGTTGGCAGTGGGAGGGAGGGGTTGGATTTGGCAGCTCCTCACACGTCAGTTTGAATTCAGGTGACTTCTGACTGAAGCAGTGCCTAATCATAGAATCTCTTTGTTTCTTCTTCGTAGGTCGCCGCTGTCGTACCTGGGGACACAGGAGCAATATGCGGTAATGGCTCTGGGAAGGTCGGCTGGAGAGCTCTGCAGATAGCTTGTGCGCTGTAATCTACAGCAGGGTTTGCAAACTAGGGCCCACAGGCAAATGCGACCCACCGAGTGTTTTTGTAAATAGCGTGGGCACAGAGTTGGAGACCTGAAAATAATATCTAAAAGGTGCTCTTCATCATTTTTCTTTATAGAGAGACATTAGAACATTCTGAATATTCCGGTCGGAAGCTGGCTAAGTAAATCCTGATTTAACTCCAGAATGTTGTCTGTAATTCAATAGGAAGGCGCTTCTAAAAGTTCATAGAAACATGAAATGAAAAAATACTGACCTTTTCCACAAACTTTTTTGAAGCCCCTTTGTATTAAGGAGAATAAGCTTTTTGGTTTTCTTTTTGTGTTTTTCAAGATTTTCTCTTCAACAAGCAAACGAGAGCTGCTCAGACAGCAAGTGACTGAGGCCAGGTTTTACAGTTCCTTACAGGAGTGCTTTTGCTCTTTCAGTTTGTTTCCTCTGACATTTTCGTCCAGCTGTTGTTGTTAAGTGCTGTTGAGTCCGTTCTAATTCATAGTGACCCTGCATAAGGTTTTTGAGGAGTGGCTGGTGGGTTTGAACCATCGACCTTGTGGTTAACAGCCCAGTGCTTATCCTACAGTGCCACACCAGGATCCAAATGAAAATTTACTTATATGCCCTTTTGCTTAAGATGTTTCACATGGCCACTTTCTGTTTTTAGGTATACTTAGGTGACCTTGTGAGAAATCTTTTTAATGAAGGAAATGATGTCTACCGGGAACTGGACTGGGATGGCTCAATGAGCCAGTACACAGAAGCCTTGAATTTAGCTGATTATGCAAAGTCTGAAGAAATTGTAATTCCTAAGGAGATCATTGAAAAACTACATATAAATCGTATTGCCTGCTATTCTAATATGGTGAGTTACAATTAAAAAAAAAAAAAAAAAGTTCCTAGGCGAAACATTTGTTCCCCAATGCTGTAGTGCAGGGATGGAGAATGTCTGGTCCGTGGGCTCTACAAGGCCCTCAAAATCGTTTGGTCTAGCCCTGCCAAGGCAACCATAGTTCCAACCAACCGTATTTCATGAAATGTTTGACCAAATATAGCAGGCTAATTTTTAAGTTAGTAATTTTGGCCCGCAGACGATGTTATAAATTGTAGCAGAAAAAAAGGTTCCCATCCCTGATGTGTATGTAATAAGTTAATAAAAAGTGAATTTCCCAATTTTAGTTTTGAAGAAGAGCCTCTTCACTGCTTTCCTAAAAAGGCCTGAAGCTTGTGGGAATTAGCTTGGGACAAATGTCTTAGGGTTTTCGGAAATGTGTTTCTTAGGCAGTAATTCTTGGAGAGTCTGATAAACTTTGAGAGGTCTATATATTTTTTAAAAATCAACTTGGGAAGAGAGAGATGTTCAGAGAGAACTGTATCTTTCTGGTATCCATGTCGTCAACAGTGGGCTTCTCGTTTTTTGGTAGGATTGGGAGTCACATTTCCGTTTGACATTTTAATGGACTCCAGAAAGGAAAACAGGAGGGGAGGGAGAAGATCAGACATGGGAGGGAAACCTGGGGGCTTCAGCTCCAGGTTTGCAGAATTGGTATGCTATAAGAATTTGAGGCCTTTATGGCCAAGTATTAACATTTGTCTGATCTGGGTGGTGGGTAACATGGATATTCCTGATACTTGTTCTACTTTTGTATATTTGAAATTTCATAATAAAAATAATTTGAAAAGAAGAGTAATAGCATCAGCTTAGAGTTTAAAAGGAGGCTATTCAGTTTCAGTCTTAATCTGTTTGCATTAGTGCAAGAAATGAATCACTTAGCTGCGAACTTTATTCTTTGATCTTATCCTCCAGGGTTGCCCCGAAAAGGTTTTAGAAGACTGTGAGATAGTCCTCGACTTCAATGCCAGTAACTGCAAAGCTCTGTATCGGAAAGCTAAGGCTCTGAGTGATTTAGGAAGATACAAAGAGGCTTACGACGCTGTCGCCAAATGCTCTTTAGCTGTGCCTCAGGTATGGGAGTGCATTGGTTTGTTCATAAACATTTTATTACTCCACGTGGAAAAATGTCAGTCAGAGGGTTAAATTTTCAATGCAGCCTTCCACCTGGTTCAGTTGTATATTGGAACCTGCTCCAAAAGGTTTAATTGCTGCAGTAAGCATCTTTACAGGAAATAAGTTATACCTGTCTTGACTCGGCTTTATGGTTAGGACCAAGAACCCTCCATTAATCGTATATGCTACCCTTTTTCAGGATGAACACGTAATAAAACTAACTCAAGAACTAGCTCACAAATTGGGATTTAAAGTAAGGAAAGCCTACGTTAGAGCTGAGGTAAGCTAGAGTTCTCTACAGAAGGTTTTTCATTTCATTTTAAAACCTAGACTCAGTTCTGTTCTTAAACAAGTGTCTTTATTACTGTATTTCAGCTCTCATTAAAATCAGTTCCTGGAGATGGAGCTACCAAGGTAAAGTTATTACCTCTTCAAGAGTTAGGATTTTTTTTCAAATAAAAAGGTATAAAGCTTTGGGGGCATTTCTACTTTTAATATTTTGGGTTTGTTTATTTTTGAGATCTTTTTATTCCTCAAGCACGTAATTGTCCATAGCTTCCTGTTACTTTAAAAGTCAACACAATACATTTGAGTCTTCACCTTTCTGAAGGTCTGTTGGGTCATTTTGCAGGTTGTTGATAGATACTAGGTATTGCATGTATATGAAAAAGAGTCGTTTGGGGACAAATAGCAATAATTTGGGGAATCATTGTGATTTTTTAAAAATAATTAAGGGAAGTTTTTGTTTTGTTTTTAACAAACAGTATGTTGTCTTGAAGTTCTTATATGCTAATGACCATTATGAGTTGTGGGGTGGGTAATGGCTGGAGGAGACTCCAAACCGGTGGTCTTTGAAAGCCCCTCTTAGAACTGACTGTCCTTTGAGAAATGCTGGTCCTCAAGAAAGAATTGGTGATACTGCTAGACTAGGGCCTCATTGGACACCACATATTATACAGGTTTGAAATTTTCATTCATTTCTTGAATCATGATTATAAGGTGGTTAAGTGTCTGGGAAAACTTACATGGTTCTCTTAAAGTGAGCTGTATGGCTTGTTTCGTCGCTAGAATCCTGAAAATGTTCTGATCCATTCTTTGGTTTCATTTCTAGGCTTTGACCTGTTCTGTGGAAGATATTGAACCGGGTATGTTTTGACCTGTCACCACATTTACAACCTGAAAAGTACCAGCTTTAAGATTGATTGATGTCTGTTTCAGCACTGTCCAATAAGATTGCTGGATGGCTTCACAGTATTCAAACAGAGCCCTGTTGAAATTGACCTTTGTGCTTCAGGGTGTACCACTCGAATGATTGACAATAACTGATTCCATTAAGGAATTTTTGGACACCCACTGCAGTCTACCCCACTGTCTGACAGCTGAGTCCGAATGGGGTGCAGACATTTTAAGAAAGAAAGAAAATGTTCTCCAGAATGAACAGATCTCTCCCTGGATAATGTGGATTCTTTTTATCATTGCTTTGACCAGTTTATTTGTAGTTGCTTTTACTGTTGTATCTATTTGTTTTACTTTTGCTTTCCAATTGTTGTCGAACTGCTGGCCTTGCGGTTCACAGCCCAATTTGTAACCACTACACTAGGAGACCCTAGCTCTTATCCCACCTCCACCCCACCCCCGTTACCATTAGCTATTAAGAGTGTAGTACTCGTATTATGTAATGAACCACTGCATTTTCATTCGTATTGCAGATTTACTAACACCGAGGCAAGAAACCATTCCTGTTGTTTCTCTACCTGCACCCAGTTTTCCTCACAAAGTTGGAAGTGAACTCACTTCCGTTCCTATTATGCCCTTGGCTTCTGTTTTGCCATTGCAAGTGGAAGAGAGCTCGCTGGCTCCTACGGTGCTGGCAAATGGCGGGAAGATCCCCTTCACCATGCCGGAGGCTTTTTTTGATGATGGAGATATGGTTCTTGGAGAGGAAATCGATGACCTCCTCGATTCTGCACCAGAAACGAATGGAAGTGTTATGGTAAATTTAAGTGATACTCCTTTCTTCTGAAACCAAACCAGACCTTTGGCATCGAGTTGATTCTGACTCATAGCGACTGTCTAGGACAGAGTAGAAGTAGTCCCATGGGGTGTCTGAACAGTCATCCTGATGGAAACCGACGGCCACATCTTTCTCTTGTGGAGTAGCTGATGAGTTTGAACCACTGACCTTTCAGTTGGCAGCTCAGCACTTAACCACTGCGCATCCAGGGCCGATGCTTGGTAAAGTCAGCGAGCAAGAGGAAGACCCTCAATGAGCTGGAGTTTTGCTGTGACCGCAGCAATGGGCTCAAATTTACCTACTATTGTGAGGATGGCACGGGATCGAGCCACGTCACTATGAGTTGGAATCGACTTGATCCAATTGGGTTTTCTTTCTGAAGGCAGCATTTATTTAGAAATACATATACTTATACAGGACTCCTGTTGTGGTGCTGTAGGATCCACACTGACCTGCAAACCACAACGTTGGCGGTTCAGACCCACCACCTGTTTCTTGGAAACTCTGTACAGGGTTGATTTGGGTCGGAATCAACTCCACGGCACATAACAACAACAAGAACATACTTATGCAATCGGAGTAGATACTGTCAGTTTCATCTGCTATCTAAATTGTTTTTTCTTAACCTGAAAGTGACGTCTGCCCTTCTATGCTGGTAGCTGGCTGATTGGGCAGGGGTTTTGTTTTGTTGTTTCTGTATTGTATTTTTCCTGGAAGTATAGACATAGCAAAGCAGCTTCCCATTCAGTAATTTCTGTACAAATTGTTCAAGTGACTTTGGTTACACTCTTCACAGTGTGTTCACATTTAATTTGGTCATTTTTTAAGTAAAAAACAAAAACAGTGAATATTCTATCCGGTAATTAGCACTTTTTCATACTCCTATTGGTGGTTCAAGCCCACCAGCCCCTCCACAGAAACTCTATAGAGGGTTGCTCTGAGTTGGAACCAACTTGACAGCACTTTAGCAACAACAACAAATTGGGATCCCATATTATGGAAAGGGGAAGTTTAAAAGAACTGACAAAAGATGTGCTTATTTAAGGAAAGGTAAGTTCTGTGGTTTAAAGACTTGCCGTTCCTGAAGGATAAGTCTTCAGTAACCATTCATTGGAAAGCCAAGGTCAGCTAACTATAGCTTGGCTAATTAGCACCCACTCCCTTTTCTGTTCTTGTTCTTTTAACTTTACTTTTTTTTTTTTAATTGTTATAAAAATATATGTACCACAACATTTGCCAATGCAGCATTCGCTGCCTGCTTTCGTATGGCTTGTAATCTGGAGTGGTTTTCCCATTTGTAAATACAATGGGGAGTCAAATATTATCTGTACTCTGGCTATAGAATTTAATAAGCTTTTAGAAAAGACAAATACATCATTTTTTGACATAATCTCCTTGCTTTTCAATACACTGTGTGTTCATCTGTCAACAAGGTTTCATATCCCCTTTTTAAAAAATGTTTTAGGCTGAGCTGTCTTCTCTTCTTCATCAGAGGTGAATCTTAATTCTTGAAGGGCTGAGGTCAGAGTACCACACAGGTGAAAGTTCAATGGAGCAAGAGCAGGACTATAGGGAGCATGCTTTAACGCCTCAAAATGAAGTTTTTGCAGAGTCACCAGTGCGGGTGGAGGTGTGCGGATATGCACTGTCGTGTAAGATCACAGTACCCATGAACAGCAGTCGTCCGGGTTTAATCCCAAAGTGAGGCTGCAGCTCTTTAGTGAGCATCTCACTGTAATGAGCATTGTAAATTGCTGAACCTTTATCCTGATAGTGTTCCAATACTGGCCCTTGAGAATCCCAAAAAACTGTAAGCATCAGTTGATGATAGGTGATTTGGAACTTTTTCGTGGTCGACGATTGAGGATGTTTCCATACTCTGCAATTTAACTGTCATGTTCATAGTGATGAATGCATATTTTGTTACCAGAAAAAATTTTTTTAAAAGACACTTCTATCTTCCTTTGAGGATTGGTCCAAATTTTGTGTGTAGATGTCCAGACACTTCTGGTTATGGTCGTCTGTGAGTTGTTTTGGTCCCCATCTTGCACAAACTTTTCGGAACCCAAGTCTAGCATGGATTATTTCACAGGCAGAGTCATGGCTGATATGCTTATGACTTGCCACGTAATCCACTGTCCCTCATCTAGTCGACAGAACTACTTCACGTGCACGCTCAACGTTGCCATCAGCCATGGACATGGAGGGGCATTTTAATATAACTGGAGTGCAGAGAATTTTTTACTCATGGTTGCAGTTATGAAAAAAGAAGCATGTTTTGTGGTATGTAGTAATGATACCAAATTCAGATTGCAGTCTCCGTAAATCAAGATTTACTTGAACATAGCCACGCCCATACAGTTGTGGATTTTCTGTGACTGCTATCTTGCTGCACCTGCTGCGTTACAAAGTTGCAAGAAAGACTCTGTGGCCCTAGAACATTTGCTGTCTGACGGCTGCCCTCAGTCATATAGCATCTTGGAATGGTAGGAATGGGAGTGATGAGAGGTGAGTTGGTGGGAGAAATTCAGAATTGGTTCCAGGGCTGACTGGAGAAAGTACACATCCAGAGAAGAATCCTGACCCAAAGGGAAAGAGGCAGAACAGGACTGCAAACCCTCACGAACTTCCAGCTTTCTAGACTCATGGAAGCTACGTGAACCTCTGTAACTCTTGCTCTGGTAGTCTTTAAAACCTTAAACCAAAAATGTCCCTTGAAGTCTTAAAACCAAACAGTATTCTGACTTAATTAGTAACTCTTAGATGCCCTTCAGGCCTGGAACTGAAGTCAACCTGATGGTTTAAGTTTCAGCCAAACAATAGACAAGCCTATACTGTGTCAGACTCACACAACAAGCCTGTGTAGGGTGTCCAAGGAGCAGCTAATGAGTTTGAACCTCCAGCCTTGTGGCTCAAACCGATCTTGCAGTCCAGTGCTTTACCCACAGTGCCACAGCAGGATTTCTCAACAATACTGTGAATGGAATCCTGGCGTGGCGCTGCGGGATAATGCATAGGACCACAAGGTCGGTTTGAACCACAAGGTCAATAGACCCACCAGCTGCAAAACCCTCAACAGGGTCACTTTGAGCCAGAACAACAACAACATACTTTGAATAGTAACACCAGGTAGGTTTGTGTTGTGTAGCACAATCTACCTTTTTGAGTTAAAAAGGGCAGCCAGGAACAGGCAGGGAAGGGTGAGAGAAACAGCAAATACAGGGAGGAAGTGAGAAGAGTGCTATTACATCGTGGTCGGTTTTGCAATCAGTGTCACAAATGCAATGTGTCTGAATTGTTGAATGGAAAACCAATTTGTGCTGTAAACTCACTTTCAAATCACAATTAAAAAATTAAGGAAAAGAAAACAAAATATCTACTTTGAGCATGTGTATGTAGCAGGGTTGCAGTCTTTCGTCGTACTTACTCAGTCTGTTTCTTGAGAAAATAATCTGGGAAGTTAGGTTATGTGAAGATGGACGTAGCATCAGGATTGGAGGAAGATTCCTAAACAATCCGCGATATGCAGATAACCCAACTTTGCTTTCTGGAAGTGAAGAGGATTTGAAACACTTACTGATGAAGATCAAAGACTTCAGTATAAATTATTCCTCAACATAAAAGAATAACCTTCCCAACTGGACTAATAAGCCACATCATGATAAAAGGAGAAATGAAGTTATCAAGGAATTCGTTTTACCGGGATCTACAGTGGCACCCACGGAAGTAACAGATCAGATGTGCATTGGGCACATCTGCTACACAAGACCTCTTTACATTGTTAAAGAGCAAAAATGTCACCTTGGGGAGTACAGTCCACTTGCCTCATATGCATGTGAAAGCTGGACACTGAGTAAGGAAGATCATAAATGAAGGATGCCTTTGAATTATGGTGCTGGTGAAGAATAGTGAGTATGTTGTGGACTGCCAGAAGAATGAATAAATCTGTCTTGGAGGAAGCCAGAATGCAATTCAGGAGTTAAGATGGCGAGCCTTTGTTTCACATATTTTGGCTGTTACCAGAAGGGACCCATCCATATTTCGTTAAAGTAGAGGGGTAGTGAAACAAAGAGGAAGACTCTCAACAAGGTGGATTGATACGTGGATTGCTGGCACGTCACAACAGTAACAACTCAGGACTTATGAGGGATGGCTATTGTTTTTTTGTGCCAGTCCATTTCTAACCAGAAAACAGTGGGCTCAAAAAATGCCCACATAGAAAAAAATTAGGATTAGGTTAGAATTTATTACTGTGTAATATTATGAGTACAAGACTTTTCCATGTGGGCATTTTTCTTGTGTCTGTTGATGACAGTGGAGTGTTTACTGTGGGTTTCCAAGGAGCAGCTGGTGAGTTTGAACCATCGACCTTGCAGTCCAGTACATTAACCCACAGCACCACGCAGGAGTCCTGTCCTAGAACCCTTTTAGTAATCTACAAGGTGATGTGAGGGGCTAGTTCTGATCCAGGGTACTAAGAGGTAAGAGGCTCTCCTGGCAATGGGCTTGATGAGTCCTCCAGTCTCCACCAGCCTAGTAAGTTTTGTGTTGTTGTTTGGTTTTTAAGAGGTTCCACATTATTTTCTTCGTTTAATCACATCTTTTTTTCTCCTCTAGCCACCGGCGGTAGTCCATGGACCGGTTGCGGACACTGCCGGTGTCTCTCCCAGCCTGTTTTCCGCATCTTTGTTAGGAACCTTGCACGTGGGTGCAAGGTATGCGTCTCCGCCCTCATTTTCCGAATTGTACCCACCTCTGACCTCATCCTTAGAAGATCTTTGTCCTTCTTTGAATTCCTTTTCAGTGAGTGAATCCACACGAGGTAAGAATCAAACCAACATTTTAAACCATCGCACTTCATTTTCTTATAAAGAAAGTATGTGCTTGACAATGATTTCGTAGATTCTAGGTCATAGGTGCTGGATTGTTTTCATCATAACTGAAAACATAAAGACTAAACCTTTCATTTTAAATTCACCTTGACTTAAAGTATGCCGTTGCGGGGATCAAGAAGCTTGGGCATGAACGGAGGAGTGAACGTTGGCATGATTTTTATATAGAGTTTGTTAAGCTGGGTGTCTCTAATGTTTTGAGGCAAAATGCATTTTCCTTCTTAAAGGGTCTGAAAGATAAGTTAACCTTCTGAAATCTGAGTGAGGCAAACAGTCAGTTAAGGCTAATGGGATCACTGTGTACAATGGTTACAGCTGTGATTAAGAGCTGTCGAGACAGTTCGGACTCATAGTCACCCTGTTTAGGGCTTCTGAGCCTTGCCGTTCAAACCAACCTTGCAGTCCAGTGCTTGTCCTACAGCAATTGCCACATCAGAACTCCAGGTTTCACTTGTTGAGTTCAGCAGACTGTGGCGGGCCGTAATGTTACAGAGGATTGGGTCATCCGACCCTATTTCTGTCATCCCACGTTGAATCGATGCTTTAAAAAATAACATTAAGAGGAATCCATGGTTAGCAGATGTAGACCCTGCTGGGTCCTCACTGACAGACATCACCTCCTAGTAAACTAGCTTTTCGACTCTAAAATCAATCCAATTGATCATGTTAAAAACGCTCATGCAAGAGGGCTTCCAGAAGTTTGTGAAAAATGGAATGAAAAGAATGGAAATTTTGCATGAACTCTTGGAAGCCCCCTCGAATTTTTCCCCAAGCGTTGTTGCAAGGTTAAAAGGACACAATCTGAGTAACCGATTGAAACAGTGAATCCTGTGGGATGTAGGAGGCCAGACAGGAAGTGATTGATTGAGTGGGGTAGACTCAGATCAAGAAAATGGAACCTTCTTAACTTTTGGCTATTGTAGTTGAGTTCCTGCTTCATAGTTTTCCCAAAGGTGCGGTTTCTTTTCCTGTTTAAAAGGAGAGTTGTTTTCTTCATCTTTGTAACAGTCCCATTTGATGGAGCTCACCTTAGCTTGCTTTTCCGAAAATGGGTTTTCTATTGAAAGCTCCTTGACTACAAGGTCATTTATGCCCTTGGTTTCTAGAGGAAAGGAAGAACTCTTTTTCAGTGTCAATAATGAACAAGAAAGCACCTTGGAATTGGAATTGGGATGGGAAACTAAGGTGGGGAAAGCCATACCCAGTGCACTAGCTACCCTGATGTTCTGATTTCACGAGGGGAATGGAAAAGGTCGATTGAAGTTTTTTTATTATTTTAGATCTGTCCACCTCAACTTCTAGAGAGGGAACACCGCTTAACAACAGTAATTCTTCCCTTTTACTTGTAAGTGCCACTTCCTCTTTTGTAAATACCTCGGGTCGATTGCAAACAGGTCTTTGGCTTCAGCCACTGAGTTATTTGAATGAACATGATGGTTCCCCTTAAATTTTGTGTGTGCTGTGGGAAATGCTATCATATGACTTGTCTGGGACATCCAGTGAATAAACGTTCCATGTTTAAGACTGGATCTGCCAGAGCCAATGAATCACTCACCCCAGCCAGTGAGAGGTTTTAGCACACCTTAAACACAACCAGGCTACATAAAACCGGGCCATGTACCCGTATGTACTGTTGAAACAATTGCCTATTACTGTTAACAAGTCATAGAGGATCAAAAAATATACCCACGGTCCCAACAGGAGACGATTTTGAACATCAAAGAGCAGTGAGGAGGGGTTAGTACTGGCTGGAGTCTTTGAAGACTGTCTTCATTTTCAGATGACTTCTATTTCCTTCTGTGGTGGGAATGCAATATGTGTTGGCTGTTTTTTGTTTTTGTTTTTGTTTTTGTTTTTTTTTGTTTTTTTGTTTTATTTCTGATTCCTCTTGCAGATGAATGGACCAAGTAGTTTGTTTGCTCCTGAGAGTTTCTTGGGAATTTCAAGTCAGTCTAGAAATGACTTTGGAAACTTTTTTGGATGTGCAGTTACTAAATCGTCTCCATCAGTGATGCCAAGACATCCCCTTGAAGGAACCCATGACCTGAGACAAGCTTGCCAGATCTGTTTTACAAAAACAGGTCAGGAGCAAACAAAGGAACAGATAGTAGTAAACTCACGAATGACCTGGAAGTTCTTCTGAATTTGTGATACCTGTGAAAAACACCAATTCATGTGACTCTCCCATCCCTGTTGGGTTGAGTTGTTTCTAAAGTAGCCGTGGTGTTTGATGTGGGGCCTTTGAAGGCTATTAGGATGAGTCTCTGTTTTTATTTGATGACCTACTAATTGAATCGTGTGGAACCGAATATTTACCTGATCTGGGAGCTTATGGGAATTGTTGAGTTTCTTTGGTTCTAAGTATATGTTAAAGAATTTGATAATTTTTCAACAGATTCAGAATTTTTTTTAAAGGATATATGCATATGTTGTTGTAAGTGCCATTGAGTCATCTCTGACTCATAGCGACCCTGTATAGTATTTCCAAGGAGCGGCTGGTGGGTCTGAACCACCAACCTTGTGGTTAGAATATATATATATATATATATAAAATGCATTTGAAAACCAAAGTCAGTGTGTCCATATATTATATATATGTTTGTGTGTGTGTGTATATATGTATATATACACACACAAATACACACACACACATATATGTATATATATGTCATTATAAGTGCTGTATAGTCTGTTCTCATAATGACTCTCTCTCTCTCTCTGTATATATATATATATGTGTGTGTGTGTATATATATATATATATATATAGGGTTTCTTTATGGGAGCAAAAAGCCTCATCTAATGCTTTTGTGAAAATTAAAGTATTCTGTTGATTTGTTTATCTTTAAATTGAGTAGCGTAGACATTTTTCTGAAGTGGAACCAACTCCATTTTCTTTCTTAATTTTATATTTACTGTTGTTCATTACGTTGATAAACCATCAAAATTCATATTCAAAATATTATACTACTTGTTAAATAAGGGTCTGCTTTGAGAGGATTGGTTACTGAATGGAACTTTTGTTGTCTGATAAAACTGCATAAATAGCAGAAATCTACTTTAGAATCTAGTGTATATTTGGGGGTTGTGAAAATAAAATTTTTGTGGGATTTGAGCAATTAATGTACGTATGCTTGTGTCTACATGTAAATTTGCTTATAAAATGAATCTTTTTCTTTTTTTTTTTTTTGCATATGAGCAATCCTCTTTACATCTTTTTCAGGCCCTAAGTTAATGGATTTCACTTACAATGATAATATAGATCATAAATGTAAGAAAGATATTTTAATTGGTAGGATAAAGAATGTTGAAGATAAATCATGGAAAAAAATACGTCCAAGGCCAACAAAAACAAATTATGAGGGACCATATTATATATGCAAAGGTACTTACTTTAATTACTTAATAGTATACATTACAGAAGTGATAAATGAATCCCTCCGTTTACTGTGATTCTCTTATGAACTGTTGCTTAGAATGTTTCTGCAGTTGGTAGCAAGTTCCTTGGATTGAGACAGTCCTCTATTTTATGGTAGTTTTACTGTTATTTTTAAGGTCTTAAGTAGTGCGCAGTTGGAAGCCAGGCTTGGCCAGGTTTTAAACAGGAGGCGTAGCCTCAACAGCAACAGAAGGACTAGACTGAGACTTTGAACATGCAACTCTGCTTCAGCTCCTTTTGAGACAACTTCTGTCAAGCCACCTCATGGGATTGAGATTTGCTTATCTTTAATGAATTAAAACATTGTATTTTACACTCACTTTCACCCTCTGTTTCTTAACTGGTCTCTCCCTGTTAACATAAACCCCCTGCCCCACTAAGTGTCTATCCAATTTTTCTAGTTGCTGTTATCCATTTGATCACATATAAATAGATCTTAGAAGAGCATAATACTCAATGCAGGCTTTTTTTTTTTTTTTTTTAACTCGTTAAGCCAAACCATTGTTTGGTTTTAAGAAAATGTCAGGGGGTATTTTCAGTTTAAAATTAGAGATGATCTAAGGGCAGTAGTTTTAGGCATTCATCTAGACTCCATAGCTCCAGAAAGTGTAAGTTCTCTGAGAGTTTGTAAATTCTGTTGTGCAATACCCCCACCCTTTTTTTTTTATGAGGATTCTTCTAGAGAATCTTTCATTACATTTTAAAGTAATGATAGCCAGGAACCATCGAGGCTAGGTAGAGTGGGTAAGACTCCAAAGACTTTACACGACGGCAATGAATTATTTTTTTAACCTTTGGTACTTGACTTTTTGAAAGCGTTAATACCATTGCTGGATTGTATTACACAGTTCATTGGTTAAAGGTATCTGTCAGAATTATTTTAACAGTTGGCTGATGTCATAAGCATGTTTGAAATCCATTGGCTTTCGAAAGCCATCACCTGCACACTGAGTGTCTTTCCACTCCCTGTGTTTCCAGATGTTGCTGCTGAGGAGGAGTGTAGATACTCTGGCCACTGCACATTTGCGTACTGCCAAGAAGAGATTGATATCTGGACGCTAGAGCGCAAAGGGGCCTTCAGTCGAGAGGGGTTCTTTGGCGGTGATGGAAAGATAAACCTAACTGTATTCAAACTTTTGCAAGAGCATCTTGGAGAATTTATATTCCTCTGTGAGGTACTTTTGTCAAGACTTACGGTTGACAGTTTCTGACTTTCCTGTACGGACGTGTCAAGTACTTAGTTCTGGCTTGATAGTAAGCGTTCACTCAGTACACGGTAGCTGCTGATGCTGTGTACCATCAAGTCAGTTCCCACTCCTAGCGACCCTGTACAGGGTCTCCAAGGCTGTCCATCTTTACAGGAGCAGAAAGCCTCATCTTACCCTGCAGAGCGGCTGGTGGATTCCAACTGCTATTCTTGCTGTTAGCAATCCAGCATGTCACACCCACTGTGCTCGCAGGGCTTCTTAAATGATAGCTACAAGTATTAAATAAGGAGACTTGGTAATGCTCCAGTGAAGTGTGTGGCTGCTGACTGAAAGGTTAGTGGTTCAAACCCATCCACTGACTCTGCAAGAGAAAGATGCGGCATTCTCCTCCTGTAAAGATGACAGCCTCGGAGACCCTGCGGGCAGCTCTGATTTGTCTAAGAGGGTCTCTAAGAGTCAGGATCGATTTGGTGGCACCCAGCAACAAGGATGTTTTCCAATAGAATAAAATCTGGACTTCATGTTAGCTGTTAATTAGTATAAGTACTTCTTGATGTTGAAACTATTCTGGGTACAAAATTGATATTTTGTATTACGTTTTTGTGATGATCTCTCTTCTCTGTCTATTCCAGAAATGTTTTGATCATAAGCCTAGAATGATAAGTAAAAGAAATAAAGATAATTCTGCTTCCTGTTCTCACCCAGTTACAAAGCATGAATTTGAAGACAATAAGTATGTTGGTAGTTTCTAATTTCTATAATGACAAAAATGATATAAAAGATCTGTCTTTAGATGCAAGTAAAATCAGACAAGCATCCTTCCTCATTTTGTTTGTTTGGAAGCAAGGCAATTCAGTAATGTCTGGTTTAAAAGTCTCTTTTGTAGATTTGACTGGGAATCAGAAATCAGTTGTTAAATTGATTACATGATGCAGAAAAGTAGTATGACTTCAGAAGAGTGATATTATGTTATAGCTTATAAGGATATGGATATAAGTATCTATGGCTTAAGGCATAATTGTTTCTTATCCCACATCCAGATAATTTAGCAGTTGCAGACAGTGATTTATTTTCTCTGCTAATTCAAGTTGTATTCTTCATTGAAAATTTGCCATATTGTTTCTTTTTCTTTTTTGTTTGAAAAAGCTTTTTGGAGAACAATATTAAGCTATCGTTCCATTTCATCTTAGGTGCCTTGTCCACATTTTACGAGAGACAACAGTAAAATACTGCAAAATACGTTCTTTTCACAGTCAGTGTCAGCTTGATTTATGTCGTCATGAAGTTCGATATGGCTGTTTAAGGGAAGATGAGTGCTTTTATGCACATAGTCTTGTCGAATTGAAAGTCTGGACCATGCAGAATGAAACGGGTAGGTGCGGGAACAAATAGAGCTGAGAACCAGGTCTATTCCAGAGCATCTGCGTTTTGATGCAGAAGTCACTCAGGGGCCTTCTCTATCCACCTCATATGGCACCTCTGTTGAGTTTGTACTCAGCTTACAGCTCTGCTATCGAATGACCCTGAACCCTTGTGGCAGGTAGAGTTGTCCCACAGGGATTTCTGGGCTGCAGTCTCTATGGGAGCAGATCACCAGGCCTTCCTTCCTTCCATGGTGTTTCTAGGTGGGTTTGAACTGTCAACCATTCAGACAGCAGCAGAGTGCTTAGTTCTTGTGCTACCAGGACTCCGTTAAACTCTGACTCACTGCTGCCGAGTCAGTGCCTACTCCTAGCCTGCCTGTAGGCTGGAATAGAACTGAGGCCATGCATTTTTACAAGAGCAAACAGCCTCATTTTTCTCCAGAGGAGTGCCTCGTAGGTTGGGACCACTCACCTTGTAGTAAGCAGCCCAACACTTAACCTTCTGCGCCACCAGGGCGCCTTTTAAACTACTGTAGTTGTTGTGTTATTACTGCCTAGTGGGTTTCAACTCCTAACAACCAAGCATAGCATTTCCAAGAGTGGCTGGTGGGTTTGAACTGCCCCCCTGACGGTTACTAGTCCACTGTTTACCCCACAGCACCACACCAGGGCTCCTGTTTTAAACTATATAAAACCAAAAGGCCAAACTCACTGCCATTGACTAAGCTCCAACTCATAGCGACCCTTGATAGTGTTTCCGAGACCCTAAACCCTTATGACAGCCTCATCTTCTTCCCTTGGAGAAGCTGGTGGGTTTGAACCACCAACTTTGAATTCAGCAGCCCATACCTGACCCACCGTACCCTCAGGGCTCCTGTTAACCTGTATGTTGTTGCTGTTAAGTGCCATCAAGTTGGTTCCCACTCAGCAACCCTGTAACAGGGTTTCTGAGGAGCAGCTGGAGAGTTTGAACTGTGGAGTTTGCACATAGCAGGCCAGTGCTTATCTCTCAGTGCTATACCAGGGCTTATGGTGGTTATGCACCATGGAGTCAGTTCTAACTCAGAGTGACTTTGTACAGAGTTTCCAAGGTTGTGAACCTTTACAGGAGAAGAAAGCCTTCTGTTTCTCCCGTGGGGTGGCTGGTAGATTCAAACTGCCGACCCTGCGGTTAGCAGCCCCACTCAGAACCCACTACGCTATCAGAGCTCCCTACACTAGAACTTAATGTCACTTTTAATATTGGGAGTCCTGCTTTGACATGTAGGATAAGCACTGGACTAATAGCTGAGAGGTCAGCAGTTCATACCCACCATCCGCTCCTCTGAAACCCTATACAGAATCTCTGTGTGTCAGAACCAAGTTGACAACACTTAACAAAGTCGTCACTTCTCAGGAGAAAGGTGTGGCTCTGTGCTCCCGTTAAGATTTACAGCCTTGGAAACACTCACTGCAAGCCAAAACCAATGTTGTGGGCTTATGTAATTGTTGATGTTCCGTGGATGTGTGGGAAAGAAAGCCTGTTCTGAAGGCACAAAGAGCTGTATCTGTAGTTGGCACCTTTTGAAGAAGAGCTAGGTGATCTTCTCCATCCTTGCAGAAGGATTAGGCTGCATGTGGGTACTAGGGGGTGGGGGTTGGGGGCTCCCCAGGTCAACTGTGGGCAGACTGGTGGAGACTGACTTTGTCTCATCTGCATTCCCCAGGTATCTCCCATGATGCTATTGCTCAAGAATCGAAACGATATTGGCAAAATTTGGAAGCAAACGTGCCTGGGGCTCAGGTATTTTCTTTCCTATTGTGTGTTCCCTGCATTTGGAATACTTTATGTAATGACTGAATGGAGATTGGTTGTAGGCAAATCAGTTCAGTTACCGTCTATACATGTATGGAATTAATAATCCCCTTTGGACGAGGGGGCAAGAGATTCTGAATTACTCATTGTTTTTTTTTTTAAAAAAAGTCTTTGATCTTCCACATACCTGCCAAGAATATAGAATCCCACTCTTATACAGCATAATGGGCAAAACAGTTGGGATCTTGAGCTTGGGTTTGATTGTGAAAAGGGAGACATTGTATTTGTAGTTTGCCTTCTAATCAGTTATAATGTACTTATCCACCAACTACCCAGAAACAAAAAATTCTGATCATCATCCCCAAAGCTGACTTTCATAAATTGTGTTTGACACGTCTACCATGTTCTCTGGCATTTGGGGATGAGGTAGAATTTTAGTTATCAGCGTGTATACTCAAGTCAACTTTGTTCTGCTGTGCATAAGGTCGCTATGGGTCGGTACCGACTCAATGGCACATAACAACAACATAGTCAAGTCAGCAAACTCAAGGAAAGACAAATATATACGATACTAAGAAGAAAGAACCCCCCCCACAAAAAAAGGCACATGATTTATTATTTTGTGCTCCGAAAGCTGGTTTCCTGTTAAAACTTAAAACTGATTTTGTTGGTTGTTTCAGGTACTTGGCAATCAAATGCCCGGCTCTCTTAATATGAAGATAAAATTTGTATGTGGTCAATGTTTGAGAAATGGTCAAGTCATTGAACCAGATAAAAACAGAAAATACTGTAGTGCCAAAGCAAGACACTCGTAAGTCGTTTCTGTGGAGACTAGACCTGTTTTGTAATTGCCCTTTTCAGAGATCTAAAGTGACACGTATAAGAAAAACAGTGAAGGTTTCGAAGACAGCAGAGGAAAGTAGCTAAGGAGTAAATATGTAGCAAAAAGAGAGTTTTAGGCTTTACCAGCTAAGAATTCAGCTGGGATTTCCACCTCCTATATTTTATCTTGGCTTTGTTTAGGATCATGCAGGCCATGTTTGTAAATATCAATAGGAAGTAAAAGGATGAAGAATCCTAAGGTATCTGTTTTAGAAGGGTTGAAGGAAGAAAAACAATCTCGAATCCTTCAGGTACAAACTTTGTACCTTTTCCTTTTAGATTATGCCTTTTGCCTGTGTATCTTTGTTTTTACTGAACTCCATTTTTCTTAGGTGGACCAAAGATCGCCGTGCGATGAGAGTGATGTCTATTGAACGTAAGAAGTGGATGAACATCCGTCCTCTTCCCACAAAGAAACAAATGCCTTTACAGTTTGATGTACATACGTAATCTTTAAGCCACTTTTTAATTTATTTTTTTAAAACAGAAAACAGACATTTTAGATCATTAGAAAGTAGTAGCAATTCAATCGTGAAACACGAGCTGTTCAATAATGACATTTAAATGTTGCCTCTCATTTTCCTCTCCCTATCCTGGTGTGGTGCTATGGACTAATGCATCAGACTGCAAAGTTGTTTGAACTGCAATGTCAGTGGTTCAAGCTCACCAGCTGCTCCTTGGAAACCCTATACAGGGTCGCTATGGGTTGGAATTGACTCGATGGCACTTAACAACAACAACCTAGTACATGTGTGGTTCTGCAGTCATTTTTACATTGATTTGCATTTTGTGAGCTACCTGGGAGATGCTATAGGCAAAGGAGTCAAGTCATGGGCATAATTTGACTGGCTTTTCAGAATTTCTTTTAGGAAGGGAATGAGAGAATCATGTCATTTTTGATCCCTGACTTGGGTGTCGAACCCAAAGCCGTTGATGTGATCGTAGATGGCGTTGATGACTTTGTTTTAATCTTACTTTGTTTCTGTCACCGAAGCAGTGGATGGCAGCTCAAAGATACCCAGCTTTCTAGTACTTTCTGAAAGTAGCTGCCCAAGGAAGAATGTTCCGTGTTACAGGAATATATATTCCTTGAAAACCATTAGAATGAAAAGAACCAGCCCAGGTGAAAGTTCGGTTATAGTGTATTGTTTGTGCTGTGGTACATCGCGCGTAGCCACACTGCAGGTGATGGGCCATGGTCTCAGCTAAGCACACCATTCAAGCTGTCTCTGGATATTTCCTTTTCTCGAGTGTGTGAGCTAAGGGCAGGGTCACGTAGAGCATCAGCAGGTAATGCGCTCTCTGCCATGAGGAGGAAACCTGCCCAGATACAGAGCAGATGCCTTGGCAGGATCCCCTCACAAGTGGGCCTCCCTGTGAATTGCCTGAAAGTGCTGGGTGAGAGGCAGGTTAACTTCCCATTGCCCAGAGCCCCTTATAGTTCTCTAGAACATACACAGGTTGCAAGGTGGTGGTGTGTTTGTGTCGTCCCCAGGGGAGTTAGTCTCATATATGTGGGTGGTTTCATCAGTGGGTTGTAGCTATTACAGGAGGGGGAGCTGGAAGGGTCATTGGAATCATGCACATTTTGTGCTTAAAACGATTATGGACTGAGGAGGGTGACTGTACTTCATCAGGCCTAGGATGATGGTTCCTTTGTCTTGGATACAAGTGTAACACTGCGGTGGATTATTTCATCTTTTTTCTACCGTAGTAAGTATGGCAGAAGGAAGAAATAATCATTTTGAGCCCTGGTAGCATAGTAAATTACAAGTTGGGCTGCTAGCCACAAGGTCAGCAGTTCAAATCCACCATTCACTCTGAGGGAGAAAGATGAGGCTTTCTGCTCCTGTAAAGATTTACAGCCTCGGAAACCCTATATGGGGTCGCTATGAGTCAGAACTGACTCGACGGCACACATCCACCACCACCACCACCACCATGTATGTGAATGGTCATAAAGTGGGTTGGTCATTGGGCTGCTAACTGTAGGGTTGGCAGTTCAAACCCACCAAGAGACTGTCTGCTCCTGCAAAGATTGCTTGTCTCAGAAACCCTAAGGAGCTGTTCAGCTCTGTCTGGTAATGCCACTGGGAGTTGACACCGACTCGATGGCAGTGAATAGGTGTGGTTATGTGTGTAGACAGTGTGGGGAGCTGGACACGTGGCCTCAGAGGATGTCAGTTACGCCCGGTCAAGTCACTCAGTCTCAGTTCATCTGTAAATGGAAATGGTGACGCCATAAGGAAGGTGACTGGCAGTGATGTCGTCTGGAAACCCACCCAGCACAGTGCCCGCTTCTCCTTTATCTTCTCTGCTCCCTGCGCCTTAGCAGTGGTAAAGGTTTCCCTAGTAATACCTGAGCAGGTGCCTCCCCGGGGTGCAACAGGGCGGGGAAAAGGACAGAACTGAGGAAGTCACAGGGATGTAGTCTTGCCTTCTGAACCTTTTAAGGGCTGGGGACAGGGGGGTCATTGACATTGGTCCAAGGGAGGAAAAGGGCAGTGCTAGGGCTAAGGCAAAGGAACTCTGGTACCTAGTGGGTTACACGTTGCTCTGCAGCTACAAAGTCAGCAGTTCAAATCCACCAGTGTCCTTAGGGGAAACATGAGAGGGAACCAACTCGACGGCCAAGGCTGCTTTCAGACTTTAGCAGAACCAGATGCTAAGCATTTCATTGTGTGTAAGCTAAGGGATCTATACAGTAGCTCCTGTTAAAACAGATGACCTGAGATAGCAAACAAGGAGCTGTAGTAGAATTCATGCCCTATTAAGACAAATCTATTGATGATATTTGAACTTCTCCTGGAGCGGTGCTGTGGGATCACCACTGGGCTGCTGACCATAGGTCAGCAGTTCAAACCCATCAGTTGCTCCTCGGAAACCCTTTACAGGATTGCTATGAGTCCAAACCGACTTGACGACCCTTAATAATAACAGTAAGTTGATGATGTTTAAGCATCAAGCTCTCTAGGTGATGGAGATGGTCTCAGTTCTTGATAGGCATGATTCTTAGTCTCCTGATCCTGGTCTCCTTATTTTCCTGTCACTGTCACTGTGTGTGCAAGGAGCCCTGGTGACACAGTGGGTTAAGAATTGGGCTGCTAACCACCAGCTCGGCGGCTCAAACCCACCAGCCTGTGTGCCGAGGCTCTCTGCTCCCATAAAGACTGACGGTCGAGGAAACCCTAAGGAGCCTTCCTACTCTATCCTCTGGAGGCTTACTGTGAGTCGGAACCGGCTCAATGGCGGTGGTTAAGATTAGGGTTCATCACTGTGTTTGTGTTGTTAAAGAAAAATACAAAAGGCAGGAAGGATTATTTGAAGGGTCTGTAGCTTGATGGCCTGGTTAGTGGAGTAATGGTTTTCAGATAATGCTTATCAGTTGGGCTAGGAAATGAGTCCTGGTTGTGTAGCAGTTACATCTCCGAGACTTTTCTGATATTGGTTAGCTAATCTTGAGGGTAGTCTGAAGCTTCTCTACTGTTTTGTAAGCGCTGACATGCAGGGGGCTTGAGTGTTTGAAAGGAGAATGAGGTGCTCATCCTGGAAGTGAAGTGCTCTGCTCTGTTGGCTGCAGATACTCTGAATATCAGTGAGTTTGTAGGTATTTTCTAATGAGACCGTGCTCTGTACGCCAATTCCAAATGTCACTTCCTGTGGATCGGTGTCTTTATTTGGATAAATTTGGAGGATAGGAAGCTTAATTAATCTCGTATAGTTTGGGTTTAGAATCCATTTCAGTGTAATTGAAGGAATCTGATTTTAGCATTATATTACAAAGGATTACTAAGCATTATTTACTCTGCCTAAATATAAACACTAGGCAGTTTTCACTATGGGCTCTCTGTCTGAAATATTCTCTCTTTGCGTTTTCTTTTTTTAACTGCAGCTTTGCAATCACGTTGCTTCAGGGAAAAAATGTCAATATGTTGGAAACTGTTCCTTTGCGCACAGTCCTGAGGAGCGAGAAGTATGGACGTATATGAAAGAGAATGGAAGTGAGTTGGTGTTTTAATTGTGTCCTTCCTTCGACCTCTATGAAATCTGACTCACCTAGAAGTTTCTTTCCTCTATAAGTACACATTTCCTAGCTTACCTTGTTACTCCTGGTATGGCCGTATAGGAGAAGAAGCATTGTTAGTATTTCAAACCCACCAGATGCTCCTCGGAAATCTTAGGGTCACTGTGAGTCGGAACTGACTCAACGGCACTTCACAACCACAACAAGCTTGGCTTGGGCACAGAAAAAGCTCTCTGCGTTGTGAGCGATCCCATCATCTCACTGTTAGTAAGATGGTGAGCATTGCTGGGGAATGTGGCTGTAGTCCCAGTAGAGTAGAGCCATCTGTCTGATTTGTGCATTCTTTGGGTGGATTTGGATGTGAGAATGTAGGCTGGCATCTTGTGATGTAATTCTCCATCTGGAAGATGGTCCTGGGATGGCAGTTCTTCTGTGACTGTTTCAATCATACTGTCCACCCCATGTGAGTACCCAAGCCCAAACCCATTGCCAATGAGTCAGTTCCAACTCCTGAAGCAGAACTGCCCCATAGTATTTCCAGGACTAAAATCTCTACACAAGCAGACTGCCACATCTTTCTCCCTAGTGGGTTTAAGCCTAGTGCTTAGCCACTGTGCCACCAGGGCCCCCCAGTTATGAATAATTGCCCCACTAAATTAACCAGACTAGACTTGGGGGTTTCTTCAGGAAGGCCTGACTTTTAGAACGAATCCAGATTCAAAGAGCGCAGGAGCAACATGTTTTATCTTGGTTCAGTTTCAAGTTTCTCATGGGAGTCGTTTGAGAGGTGCCTCAGACCACCTGTGACTTTTGACCCTAAATTGTGTTGATACAAGGGTTGTTCTTTAATGGTAGAAATGCTTCAGGTGAGCAGTCTCTGTTGCCCACCATGTGTTATCTACAGTATACTCAGTGGTTCCTCCTTGGCTGCCTTGCCTTGGAGTCACGACCCCCAGGCTGGCTTCACCGACGATGTCTTTGTATGTCAGCATTCTTGCTCTGGCTCCTGCTGTCACTGGCCTTAAAGGAGAGAAATGTCTACTTTCTCTTCAATCTTAGCCTGATGGTAAGCATTGTTAGCAACGCTTGGGCAGACAATAAAGCCAAATTGCCATAAGATCATCCTTATCAGTTTTTTGTTTTTTTTTTGTTTTTTACCACAGTGGTTCTCAATCAGAGACAGTTTGGCAGTGTATGCCCCCCCCCCCTTTTTTTAATTACTAGTAGTTGAAAATCTAACAGTGTATTGAAAGGGGATGGTTTTTGTGGATCTTATTATTAATATGGCAATTCCTGCTGTGGCTCTGTAGGATAAATACTCTACTACAAGGTCGGATTGACTGCAGGGTCGGCTGTTCAAGCTCACCAGCCACTCCTTGGAAATCCTATAGAGGGTCCCTATGAGTCTCAACGGCAGCAGGTGGGATGGAACCTTGCAGTTTTTGTTTATTGTTGAGAGTTTACACAGCAGAACAGACTTCTGTTCAACAATTTCTACATGTAGATTTCTGAGACATCAAGTACACTCGTAATGTTGTGTAATTATTTTCATCATCTTTTTCCGATCTGTTCCTTCCTCACCATTGTAAACTCACTGCCCCTCGATTTCCATTCTAATCTTTTAAGTCGCTGTTGTCAGTTTGATCCCATGTAGGTAGATAGACCTTAAAAGAGCAAAGTGCTCAAGACAGATAAACTTTCCTAGTTAAGGGACCCCACTGTTTGTTTTTAAGAAGACTCAAGAGCTATTTTGGGTTTACGGTTTAAAGAAGATCTCAGGGCAGTAGTTCCGGGGGCTCATCCAGCCTCCGCAGCTCCAGCGAGCCTGGAGTCCATGAGAATTTTCAGTTCTTTTCTGCACTCCCCGTCTCCCCCTTTTGATCAGCATTCTTCTAGGGGCTTTGATCACGATGTTCAGTAAGGTAGCTGGGCACTGTCCACTTCTGGTCTTCATTGCAAAGGAGGCAGCTGTTCATGGAGGCATTTAGCCACACAGTCCATCTCTGCCTGCTCTTGCAAACTCTCCATGAGAATGGAGGCTGACTGCTATGCCCTGAATGGCCTCTGGTAAGCTTTGAAGTCCCAGGCACTATGCAGTGAACTAGGAGGTAGAACAGAAGTGCTGAACACATTATTAGGCCAATTAATTGGGATGAGCTATGAAACCACGACCCTAAACCTCCAAACCAAGTTACCATATCCCAGGAGTGTTTGGTCAGACATCAGCAGCTACTGTTTGCGTTTTCAACAGTTGTCAACGTATCTCTCACACAACTTTTGTCAGTTCCACTTGGAGACATTCCGATTGTCACAACTGGGTGTGAGTGAGGAGGGTGCAACCACAGTGGGTCATCTGGCCCGAGGTCAGTAGTGTTGAGATTGAGAAACTGTGTTTTTAGCACTTGGCAGGAATGTGGAATACAGGCAGTTAGTTCCAGGGTTGAAAACGAGTTCCATCCCTAAGCCTCTTTTGAAATTGACTCTGTAGCTAAGTCGGGACAGTTCTGTATGGTTCCTGGCTAATGTCAGTCAGAGATCCGTCTTAGGATATGAGGCCCAGTGTAGCACTGTACGGTACGCCCTGGACTGCTAACCGAACAGTCGGTGATTCAAACTCACCAGCCGCTTCTTGGAAACCCTATGCAGGATTGCGTTGAGTCAGAACCGACTCGATGGCACTTAGCAGCAATGGTGTATGATAGCGAGTCAAAAAGTATTGCTATTAGGCTTCCAGTTCATACATGCACAAGTTTATTCCAAACAAACATGTTTAAACATGTCTCTGCTGTCCGTGGATGGTTGCAGACAGGTTCTCTCAGTAATTAATACTCATCTTAGTCTCTCTAGGGTATCTCCAAAACAAGATCCAGTCAAACTGGAAATTCTTAGGGAATGTGCTGGGCCAGTTACATTTCAAAACAGAGAAGTCAGCTCAGAAGGTTATGGCAACTGGTTTTTTTTTTTTTTTTTTGGATCTACTGCGGAAGACTTCTTTAAAGTGTTATTTAAAAGAAGCAAAAATGTCAGTTTGATGTTTAATTACCTGCCCCAAGCCGTGGTCTTTTTCATTGCCTTATATGTGTGTAAAAGTTGGAAAATTAATAAGGAAAACTGAAGAAAAATTGACGCATTTGAATTATGATATTGACAAGAAATATTAAATGTACCTTGGACTGCCAGAAAATGAACAAATCTGTGTTGGAAGTACAGCTCGAATGCTACTTAGAAGCAAAGATGGCAAGACTTCATCTCACATACTAAGGACATGTTATGCGGAAGGACCAGTCCCTGAAGAAAGGACATCACACGCGATCCAGTAGAGGGTCAGTGAGAAAAGAAGACGACCCTCAACAAGGTGGATTGGCACAGTGGCTACAAAAGTGGTTGAAACAAAAGGACAAGTGGTATGGATGGTACAGCATCGAAGTCTTTCATTCTGTTGTACACAGGGACGCTATAAGTTGAAACCAACTTGAACTTCACCAACAACAAACTTGATTTTCTTGAAGGACACAGAATATCATGGGGGCTTATTGGGAAGAAGTTTTAAGGAAATTGCATTGGTAAGGAAAAGATTAGGCAAGTTGCCCCGAGGAATTTTTCCCATCACGTTCTTCCATTCTTCTCATTCTTTGGGGTAGCAAGGACTGTCCTTTGAGAATTTTCTTAGGAAGCCGTGCTACCACATTCACCCTACAGCCCTGATCTCGTCCCTTCAGTCTTCCCTTTGTTCCTGAAACTCAGAGGACCTTAAAAAGAACACAACTAGAGTCCCTCAATGATGCCAAAAGTGCCGTTTTGACACGGTGTCAATCAAAGTGCACAGAGTTCTTCAGGGAACGGGTTTGTTGTTGTGTGCCGTCCGGTCTGTTCCGACTCATAGTGACTCTATTCAGGGTTTCTGAGGAGCTGCTGGTGGGTTTGAACAGTTAGCAGTGGTTATGTGCCGTGGAGTTGGTTCCGACTCATAGCGAAGAGACCCTGTATAGGGTTTCCAAGGCTGTAAATCTTTATAGGACAGAAAGCCTCATTTTCTCCCACAGAATGGCGTGTAGTTTCGAACTACTGACCTTGAGCTTAGCAGTCCAACTCATAACCTCTACACTACCAGAGCGCCTTGAAAGTTAGCAGTCCAGTGCTTTTCCTACCGCGCCACACCAGGAGTCCATCAGGGAAGGGTCAGGGAGATAGAACTACTAACTTCAGAAGTGTATGGACCTAAATGATATGTGTGGAGAAAACAATCACTTCACATTTTGGTAATTTTGTTTAATAAAGATTTCCTTAATTTTGTTGTAATTTTTACTTACCTTAATATAGTGTATGGGGCCCTGGTGGTATGCTGTAGTATAAACACTACACTGCTGTCTGAAAGGTTGGTAGTTCAAACCCACCAGCCTCTCCTCAGAAACCCTATACAGGGTTGCTGTGAATCAGAACCAACTTGATGGCACTTACCAACAGTATAGTCACATGTTGTTAACTAGCTCCTGTCTTAGTGGCCCTATGTAGAGTCTCTAAGGAGTAGCTGGTAAGTTTGAACTGCCGACCGTGTGGTTCAAACCAACATTGCAGTCCTGTGCTACACTTAAGCTAAAGCAGCACACCAGAGCTCCTTATTACATAGTGTTATCGTTCTATGCATAAACACATTAAAGAAATACTTAAAAATACACTAAAGCATCAGGAATGCAATCGAACAGTTGTTTTTGTTAAGGACCATAGAGTTGGTTCTAACTCATAGCAACCTTCTATGGAGTTTCCAAGGCTTTAAATTTATGTAGGAGCAGAAAGCCTCATCTTTCTCCTGCAGAGTGGCTGTCGGGTTCAAACTGCAGATCTGTTAGTTCACAGTCCAGTGCTTACCGCATGGCGCCACCGCGCTCCCAATAGTACGACACTGGTAGTAATAATAGTGTTTTGATGCGTATCGCAACATAGCATATGTTGGATATTACAAATCATTGCACATACCTCAAATTTTTATATACTAGGCTTTTTGGATGCTGGTTCTTAAGTATGGGTTGTAGGTTTGTAACCTGGGACTGTCTGTACACTTGTTCTCACCATAGGAAGCAGCTGGCAGCCTCTGCCCAGGACCTGATCATAGTTGTGATGTTGTTTCTCACTTCACAGTGGTCCTCTCTGGTATGATGGCTTGATTGGTGGAGCCCCCTTAGAGTCAGACTCTTTTTGGTCTCAGCAGTGTGCTTCTCAGCTTTCTGAATAAGCAGTGAGCAGCAGGTCAGCTCCAGGCCATGCAAGTAGCCCATGTGGTTCTAGCAGAACTAGGGAGGGTTTAACACACAGGGAAACAGGAAACACTGCAGGGGTTTTGTCTGACCATGCCATATGAGTTTGTTTACATTTTCCGTGCTTCCAAAGGGTTTTGCGGACTTCTGGTGTGGTGCTGTAGAGTCAGCACTGGACTGCGAACCACAAGGTCCACAGTTCAAACCCACGAGCTGCTCCTCAGAAACCCTATACAGGATCGCTGTGAGCTGGGATCCACTCAACAGCACTTGACAATAACAAAGGGTTTCACAAATGCAGGAGGAAGTGGCTGATCTTGAAAACCAAGGTGTGCGCTCTTAGCAGTCATAAACTTGGCTCCTAAGGATGAACGTTTACCTGCTGCTGGAACGTAGAGTACATCTCCGTTTACTGTTGTCGGATCATATTCTGCTCTTCCTTTTCTTTTGGGGAAAAAAGCGGGTGCAGGGGGGACGGGGGGGGGACGGTGGGCACAATGTGGTGTGCCTTTAGGTGGTGTTTTGTTGTCCCTGCTGAAAACCGTTCCTTTTTCTTTAGTACAAGATATGGAGCAGTTTTATGAACTCTGGCTAAAGAGTCAAAAAATGGAAAAAAGTGATGATGTTGCCAGCCAGTCCCACAAGGAAAACGGAAAACAGATTCACATGCCAACAGATTATGCGGAGGTGACTGTAAGTAGCCCTGTTGTTTCTGGGCAGTGGATGAAGCCTTTCTCCCTCCCTATACTGACTGCCTGCAGCCCCTCTGGTGTTTCCACCCTCTCTCTTTAGTGGCGTCTGGCTAAGCCAGCTTCATTCAAGGACCATTTCTTGGTCCTTCCTTAGTAGCCTGGGGCTTTTGCTGTCACACAAATACCACAAGGGGATGGCTTTGAAGAATAGAAATCTATTTTCTCTATTTTCTCACAGTTCTTGAGGCTAAAAGTCCAAATTGGAGTCTGAGCCCTGTAGATTCCTTCCCTGTTGGTACACTGGGGTTTTTGGTTCTTTGGCTTGTAGATAGATGACTTCACGTATCCTCTGTCAAATGCCCCTGTGGATGTGTGTGTTTCTCTATCTAATCTGCCCTTTGTATCTCTCAGAAGTGACTAGATTTTGAACCCACCCAACCTAATGAAACATAACAAAGATTGCATCCACAGGTACATGGTTTAAGATTCTAACACATTTCAATCCATAACAACCTCATTACTGACTTAGGAACCAGAGGGTTGCAAGTCCAAGTTCTGCTTCCTCTTTTGACAAGTGTGTGGCCCTGGGCAGATTCTTGACCGTCCCTTGTGGCACTGTTGGGAGGATGAAGCCTAGTGAGGGTACTGAGTTACCCAGTGTGGTACCTAGAGCAGAGCCAGGAGCCATGATCCCTCCTCCCCACCTCCTCTCCTCCTCTTCCCCACCTCCTCCCCAGCTCCTCTCCAGCTCCTCCTCCCTACCTCCTTTCCACCTTCCTCTCCAGCTCCTCCTCCCCACCTCCTTTCCAGCTTCCCACCTCCTCCCCACCTTCTCCCCACCTCCCCAGCTCCTGGGGTCCCATTCCCTCTTGATCGTCTGCAGTCCTGCTTCTGCCTCTTACCGATTGAGTAGAGGTATTCATCCTCCCGTGGTCAGTTACTGTTTTGCGCCTCCCTCCCTCAAACGTGAAAACCAAGAAGTCGACAGGGTAACAGAGTGAATCTCTGGAGCCCACACTCCAAGTTCACTGTGCTTCTGGAAAATCAATAAAGTACTGCAGATAAATTGACGTCCCATTTGTTCCCCTTCCCACAGGGATCAGATCCCAAGTGTATTTTTCAGGCCATGTTTACACATTTTAACGGCACATTTATTCTGGAAAATCTATCATTTGTTTGGCAAGTGCTGGAACTTTATATCCACGTTAGTCTACTTTTTGGTTCTTGTTGCATTTTTCCTTCTGTTACCAACTCATGCAGATCCACGGGCCCATTGTCCCCTGTCTTACCCTAAAGGCACACCATGTTGTGTCCACTTCTGTTTTTTATTCAGCCAGAGCTGTCTTCCCTCCCTTCGGTGTTCCTTTGTGCTCCTGGAGCAGGGTTACCCAGCCTTGTCTGGACCATGGTCCACACCTGGAGTGTTGACTCTGTACTGAGTCAGCCCCTGGGGGAGAGATGTCTCCAGGAATCTTTCTTTTCGTCCAATGTTGCAGGTGATTTCTTACTCGAGCTCTGGAAACTTGCGTATATTGCAGATTTACCTCCCGCCCTCACGGGGCTGCTCCTGGGAAGGTGTGTCTGCCAGGAGTAGCGTCTCACTGCCACATCTACTTCAGGGACACTGATCCCAGCCTGTGGCAGGGACTCAAGTGATGCACGGTGAATGGGGAAAGCGACTGCTAGTCCCTCTGGAGTTGGCCTGCCCTGCTCTCTCAGGCCCCCTCTGCATTCCCTCACGATGTCACTTCTCCCTAGAATCCTGGTTTGTACTTGGCCTCTGTCCTCCTGACAAACATCCTTGTTTGTACACCGGCTCCTGTCGCCTCCTTGCCGGAACCTTCTTGGACACCTGGCAGAATTCTGCCCTGCTCCTCCCTGCATCTGGCAGGCCTCCAAGGCTGCCACCCTTGCCTCAGTCCTGTTTCTAACTTGGAGCTTGTGTGTGCTCAGCTCACCCTGAGAAGCAGCCTGGTCCTGCCGTTGGGTAGTTTCTGACCCTGTTTGACCTGTTGGGACGTACACGGGTGGCACCTATTAACAGGCCTGTGTCTTCTCTGTGCTCAGGTGGACTTCCACTGCTGGATGTGCAGGAAGAACTGTAACAGTGAGAAGCAGTGGCAAGGCCACATCTCCTCCGAGAAACACAAGGAGAAGGTTTTCCACACGGAGGATGACCAGTACTGCTGGCAGCACCGCTTCCCCAGCGGCTATTTTAGTATATGCGATAGGTACGGCAGCGTTTCAAACTTACCACGCAAAAATTGATGCTGATCTTGTGGCACTTTCATGGCCATTAGGGAATCTCCTCCTCCCTGGATAATGCAAATGATGACCAGGCTTGGTTGTGAACCGAAAAGTTGGTAGTTCAGGTCCACCCAGAAGCACCTCAGAAGAAAGGCCTGGTGATCGTCTTCCCTAAACTCACCCATTGAGAAGCGTTTGGAGCCTGGTTCTACTCTGACACACGTGGGGGCGCCATGAGACAGAATCAGGTCGTAGTGCTCTTCCATGTTCCAGGCCAACTGTTGTCAGTTCACACTCGTGTGTTGCTGTTCAGTGCCGTCGAGTTGGTTCCAACTGACCTTGTAGTCCCATGCTTATCCTACAGTGTCACACCACATATAGATGATTCTTTATAAGAGAGTTAGCTTGAGGCAAACTTTTTTTTTTTTTTTAATAAATTGGACTAAATTGTCCTTTAGTTTAATGGTGGTTTAGTAGGGGTAATGTTGACTCAGGATTTAAAGCTTATGTCTGGACATTAGATTGGGGATTCCTCCCACCCTGAGTGACTCCAATAGTCTGGTTTCCACATGAGCTGTAAGTTCTATTCCACAGTTTTCCTCCATTTGATCAAGACCCATCTGTTGGTTCCTTGATGAAGCATTGAATCAGGGTAGCCAGGCCCCATTCAGTCCTTCTAGTGCTGTGATAATGCAGATAATGTGGTTTGTGAGGTAATTAAATCTGCAGTCCATTTCCTCCGTGTTGTTTCTCCCTCTGCTGCTCTGGTGAATAGAGACCAGTTGCATCTTGGGTGGCTTCTTATAAGCTTTTAAGACTTAGATGCCACTCACTGACCTAGGAGGTTGTATAGAAACTCTATAAACTAAAAACGTTAGGCCATAAAGCTCTGATCATAACCCTTCTGGCCAGGAAAACCACCCACCCACTCACGGTTTCCCATGTGGTAGGAGGGCTGTCACCATTGCTTCTGCCCCCGTCAGCTTTTCTGTATGTGGTTTTCATCAAGGTGAAAATCGTTTAAAACTTTGGTTTCTCTACTGTGGCTAGCAAAGCTATGATAATGCTTACTATTCTAGGCTTAAGATTCCTAATGCGATGTTCTATGCAAATTGCAAGGCTAGTGAATACCTGAGACCAGAAGAACTAGATGGTACTTGTCTACCACTAAGGCCCAGCCTGTTCAGATCCACAAAAGATGGATCTTAATAGCAGGGGTCAAAACACAGAACTCAGATTCCTCGAAAGTGCAGACTTACTGGACGAGTGGAGACTAGAGGACACCCTGAGACTGTCGCTGTGAGATATCTCCCTAAACCTTGACACAAAACTGTCCCCTAAGGCCACCTTTTAGCAAAATAACAGATTGGTTCTAATAAAGACTCTTACCAGTGAGTACTGGACTCCTTTTAAAAGTCATCTCCACTGCTGTTTGACCAAATAGCCATTGCTCTAAAGCAAAGATGACAAGGGAAGGGGACAGGAAAACCAGAGTACTGGGAAAGAAACATCCGGAATGGAACTAAGGAGAAGGCTGCCACATTCTGGGCAAGGTCTCTGAACAATTTGAGGAGTAATTGTTACATGAAAACCCAATCTACTGCATCAACTTGTATCGAAAACACTTAAAAAATAAAACCATATGTGTGTGTTAAGTGCCATAGAGATCATTACGATTCATAGCAACTCTGGATAGGGTTTCCAAGGAATGACTGCTTCAGTTTCAACTGCCAACCTTGTGTTAACAGTCCAGTGCATAACTAACAGTACTTATTTGTTGTATCAACTTTTGCCAAAAACACAATAAAAAAATACGTATTTAGTTAAATATATCTAATATATGATAAATAAAATATGTAATATGATCATATGTATATATATGTATATTGTTAAGTGCTATCGAGTTACTTCCAACTTATAGTAACCCTGTACAGAGCTTCAAGAGGAGCTCTGGTAGCGTAGTGGTTACGAATCGGGCTGCGAACCGCAAGATGAGCAGTTTGAAACTACCAGCTGTTCTGCGGGAGAAAGATGAGGCTTTCTGCTCCCGTAAAGATTTACAGCCTCGGAAACCTTGTACAGGGTCGCTATGAGTCAAAACCAACTCCACGGCACATAACAACAACAACAGAGCTTCAAGGAGTGGCTGGTGGGTTTGAACCACTGACCTTGGGGTTTACAGTCTAGATAGGTGTATATTTCAAGCTAGTTACCATGCGTGGTCAGGAATCCTTGTGCAGTTTTCATAAGCAGCTTGCAGGCATTCACCAAACTGACTTTTCCCTGACAGGTATATGAACGGGATCTGCACCGAAGGCAACAGCTGTAAATTTGCCCATGGGAATGCTGAGCTCCAGGAGTGGGAAGAAAGAAGAGATGCCCTCAAGATGAAACTCAACAAAGCGAGAAAAGATCACTTAATTGCCCCAAATGATAATGACTTTGGAAAATATAGTTTTTTGTTTAAAGATTTAAACTAAGAGGCTGGCTTTTATGTATGTTATCTAATCAGAGCATTGACCAGAAACATTGAAAGTGTTCCAAGGCACGTAACAGAGGAACTGCAGATTTTCTGCTTGTATTGGCATCTATTGGTCCTTCTGAGCAGCAACCCACAGTAGGTAGGAAAACGGGCTGTTTGAACAGGTCTGGCCATGCTCTCATGGAACCATTGGCCTCAAGTGGCAAAGTGACCGCTACCCGGTTGCCATTTGTTGAACAGACTTTTGGATGGAGTATGTTGAGGAAGAGACTAAGGTGATGTCTTGGACGACTCCCTGAGTTGGTCCTTCAGATCGGAACCATGGTAAACAAACAAACAGTAGTTAACAGGGATCAGAACACATAACGGCTGAAATTCTTTATGTTTTAGCAGAATGAATCTGTCTAATAGAATACAGTTTGCTACTTATCTGTATGTAGGTTGCTTACAAAAAAAAAAAGGATTTTCTTAACTCAAGATTTTAAGTCAAATAACCATTTAACACTAGTATACGTTAAATGGGGTACTTTTCTGTATTTATACGTTTCATTATAATAAGGGAACTGAGGATACTGTGCATTGAAAATATTTTGGAGAAAAAAGAATCAGTTGACTCAAATTTTATTTCTTGGTCTTTTGCTGTTTAAAGATGATTTTGAAAGATGAAACTTGTAATGTTGGTATTGTGTAGTGTATGGACCAATATTGCCTGTAATAAAGATTTTATATGTAGATGTCTCTCTCTCTCTTGCTTTTCTTTGTTTTTGTTTGGTGTGGCCTTTCCCTCAAAAAGAATTGTTCAAACTCGGTACTAAAATCACTATAGTTTAAAAACTTTTTTTTTTTTTTTTTTAAATAAAAGCACTTTGATTTCAGCAATTATTGACAGAATCCAACTTGAAGGGACATGAAAACACCTACTGCTTGTCCTCTCAGCTGACCTGTCCTTCTCTTAGGACTGACACGGTAACCTAGAGGGTCTTGTGGGATTCATTTAAATAAATGCCGTTGGCAACCATGGAGTCAGCCCCCAATTTATGAAGACCCCACCCCACGTACAGCAGAACAAAACTCTGCCTGGGCCTCTGCCATCCCATGATCCATTGGGTGTTGGACCATTCACTGGCTGACTTTCAGATGTAGAACCATTGGCCTGTTCTCCCCAGTCTGTCTCAGTCCGGAAGCTCCATTGAAACCTGTTAATATCATAGTCACCTGCCTTTGGAGGCTGGGAACCCAGGAGCTAGGGGCCGGTCCAGGTGGGAGGGCAGCTGTCTCCTGAGGACATTGTCAGTAGAGAATCTTCTAGTTGATTGGGGACCTGGGGGATTAGGCTGCCCTGTCACCTATGTTAACATGTGTCCACCTTCTAGCTTGTAAATAATTTTCCTTTTCCCTCTCCACTCTCCATAGCTACCATAGAAAACTTTTTCTTAACTTTTTACAAAATTGGTTTCATACAATATTTGTCTTTTTATGATTCACTAATTTCATTCAGTATAATGTTGGTTCTCAGTCCAAAGAAGATCCATTAGCATTTTTGAAAGTTGGTCTGGTGGTCACAAATACCTCTAATTTCTGTTGATTAATAAATAATCTAATTTCACCATCATATGTGTAGCATTGTAGGATAAGCATCAGACCATAAGGTTGGTGGTTCATAATCACCAGCTGCTCCTTAGAGACCCTATACAGGGTCACTATGAGTCAGAACCAACTCAATGGTACTTGACAACAATTTGAGGGACAGCTTTGCTGGATACATGATTCTTGGCTGTTAGTTTGCAGTATCTTCTGCGATGTTTGTTTTCACTTAATTCCAGGGACTCGAATTCATTGTCGGGAAACTGGGGGACAGCTTAGCTCCTGGGCTGTTCCTGCCAGCTTCAGACCTTGTTAGCCGGCCTGGGGATTAGAACATAGACTTCTTTGGTTGTAAGATATGGTAAATCAATTTCTGAAAGTAAATTCTGGGGTGTTGATACAAAGCCTTCACAAAGCAGAGACCCAGCCCACAGTACCCATGCTCCGGGCCCCTGCTGTACCTACGTGCTCTGCATGTTAGGTACCTCCTGCTTTGCATCATATTTGCATATAGCACACCCACATAAATAACACCCACATATATAATAATATGCATAGGAAACTAATGTGCAGTCTGCAAGAAGAATTATATGTGTTACTTGGGTAAAAATACCATAAATATTTGGAAGCTTCAAATTATTTCTCTGCGGCTCTACGAAAGAACTTAAAAATCATTTACTGTCTAGCCTGGCTCATGGGGACCCCCATGTGTGTCTGACTGGAATTACGCTCCAGAGGGTTTTTTTTCCAAAATGAATTGTATTATTTATTATTCATCGATTTTTAAATTAATATGCAAGCGGTGCATATTCAACTGCATGAAGACTTGTGGCACAAAGAGAACTCGGCAGGGATGCATTTCAGCTGCAGTTTTGACAATGCCCACGGATGTGTAGTCAGGAGGCCCCAGTACGGTCTTGGTCTAAGAATAAAGTTTAAATAACTCATAGTTTGTTTGTTTTTTTAATTAAAAAATTTTGTTATTGTTGAGAATAAACCCATACACAGCACAACACACCAATTCAACCATTTCCACAGGTACAGTTCAGTGACGCTGATTATATTGAGTTGTGAAAGTCATGTTTACCTGCCTTTTCCTAGTTGTTCCTCCAGTAATGGAAGCTTACTGCTCCGGCTGAGTTTCTGAAAGTAGATAACCAGGCCTTTCTTCTGAGGTACCTCTAGGTGGAACCAAACCTCCAACCTTCCAGTTTGCAGCAAAGTATGTTAACCATTTGCTCTACCCAGGGACGTTAAGAAAGGATGAATATGCCTCCTCAGCTTGAACGTGCTATAAAATAGGGTCTTGATGTGGACAAATTAGAGCTGACTTACCCTTTGAAGACCACTGAAGCACATTCTAGACAACCTAGCTTATTCTGAAATGAATTTATAATAGTTCTAGAACATTCTGTTGCCAGAACCACAGTCTACATGCCCTGAGAGAGAAGAGCAAAGGAGCCACCCTTGTGTTATTCTTGGGCGGTTTCCTGGCCTCACAATGTACTGTGGACCTAATGTGATCATCCGAAGGCAGCAAAAGTACTTTGACCTTTATAAACTGTTGCCTTTGAGGTGATGTCAACTCACTGATCTCATAGGACAGAACAGAACTGCTCCAAGATTGTAATCTTTATAGAAACAGCCTGCCACATCTTTCTCCCAAGAAATGGCTGGTGGATTTAAAGGATTGACGTTATGGCTAGCAGCTGAGTGTTTTAACTTCTGTGCTACCAGTTGGAAACAGAAGCAGCGAGGGACTGATGTAATTTGCATAGGTGACACACAGCTGACCTGTGGCAGAGGTGGGATCTCACCTTTACCTCTGGTTCTCAGCCGTGTTTGGTTTCTGTACGTGTCACATTATATTGCCTCAGCTCTGTCACATTAGCATTTTCATTTTTGCAGTTACTGGCAGTAGTTTTTATTGTGAATTGAGTGATAGTTTTACATGGGAGAACCTCGGCTTTACATTCATCCTACTGTATTTCATTTCATTGCAATGATTAAAATTCCCTCCATGCATCATCATTAAACAGCGTTTGCTTCCATTCCTTGTTTTTTTTTTTTTTGGATGTATACCAAAGCATTCAGGAATATATAACCATTCAAACAACCAAAGGGTACACCCCGCAAGCCTGAGTCCAGAGTCCCTCTCCCTCCCTGAGTCCAGAGTCCCCAGCCTCTCCATCTCTCCATGTCTTTCTGCCTCCACCTCTGGCATTGCTGAGAAGCCCAGTCTTGATCTGAAGTCCCAAGAGTGTTCGTCATTCCCTGGTATGGTGTTTGACTGCTAACTGCAAGGTCAGCAGTTCAAGCCCACCAGCTGCTCCTTGGAAACCCTATAGAGGGTCGCTATGAGTCGGAACCAACTTGATAACACATAACATCATTCCCTATACTGAAAATACCACAGACTGCCAGGAGAACAAACACACCTTTCTTGAAAGAAATTCAGTTCAAATGCTCCTTAAAAATGAAGATGACAAGACTTCATTTCATGAACTTTGGATATGTCATCAGGAGGGACCAGTCCCTGCAAGAGCACACCATGCTTAGTAAAGTAGATGATCAGCAAAAAAAGAGGAAGATCCCCAACAAGATGGGCTGACACAATGGTTACAACAACAATTGTGAGGATGGGACAGGACTGAGCAATGCTTTGTTGTGTTGTGCACAAGCATCAGTCAGAGGTAACCCAACAGAACTAACATCATCCCACAGGTGTGTCACTCCTTTGCCCTGATGGAAACTCTCTCACTTGCAAATCACATTTCATCCCTGTTCTAGAGAAAAAGGACCCCGAATTCAAATATATTTTATAGAGATCCTTTTATTAAGTGTTAAACAAGACAAAGTCAAATTAGCTGGATGAAGAAGGCCATTAGTATGAGCCCATAATGGTATCCAAAAGATTCATGATCCAGAGATGAATTATGTAAAACAAACGAAATCCATACAAAATCATGACTGGCAGCAGATGAATTCTTCACTGTTGCAGGTACTCCCTAGAGAAGTAAGGAAGGTCCAGAATTAGGTACAAGGAGAGTGAGACTTGTCTCTGGTATTTATAACATTTTGTCAGGTGGGACCAGTCCCTGGAGAAGGACATCATGCTTGGTAAAGCAGAAGGTTAGCAAAAAAGAGGAAGACCCCCAACCAGATGGACATAAAGGGTGGCAGTGGCAATGGCCTCAAACATTAACAATCCTGAGGCTGGAACAGAACTGGGCAGTGCTATGTTCTGTTTTGCATAGCATTGCTATGAGTCTAGGCTGACAGGGACTCGATGACACCTAACAAAAAGCACACATACTTGCAAATTGAAAACATTTAGAGGACTGGTTCTGGGGCTCCCTGATCACCTAGCTACTTGATGGTCTGGGTGTGAATTGTATTGCATTAGGCCAAATCTGCTGCACAAGACCTTTCTAAAGTGTTGAAGAGCAAAGATGTCAGCTTGAGGTCTAAGGTGCGCCTGACCCAAGCCATAGTATTTTCAATAACCTCATATGCATGCGAAAGCTGGACAGTGAATAAGGAAGATCGGAGAAGAATTGATGCCTTTGAGTTAGGGTGTTGGAGGAGAATAATGAAAGTGCCATGGGCTGCCAAAAGAACCAATAGATCCGTTTTGAAAGAAGTGCAGTCAGTCTCTGCTCCTTAGAGGTCAAGATGGCCAAACTTCGTCTCTCATACTTGGGACATATTGTCAGGAGGGACCAGTTGCTGGAGAAGGACATCATGTTTGGTAAGGTGGAGGGTCAGAGAAAAAGAGGGAGACCCCAACGAGATGGATTGGCCAAGTGGCAGCATCGATGGACTCAAGCGTGGTAACTTTAGTGAGGATTGCCCAGGATCGGGCAGTGTTTCATTCTGCTGTGCATAAGGTCGCTATGAGTCAGCACTGACTCGATGGCACCTAACAACAACAACAACAACCCTAATTTCCACTAAGAGCATGCTCAGGCAAGTCCCTTCAGGGTAGGACTGTCCATCCCTGGGCAGGCAAGGGGAGTAGTAATCCACTTTCAAACACGCTTGTCTGATGGCAAAGCACTGCTGGTTAATGTTAAGAATTGAAATGGAAATTGAATTTTCAAGACAGAACATGAAGTTCAAGAGCTCACTATAAATCACAGCCTTCAGCAAACCGAGTGCTTTAGATTTTATGCCCAGATGCAGTCTGGATTTTTCACCCATTAACTAAGTGACCTAAAAGGCTTTACGGTCCAAGAACCGAACATTCTTAATTAAGATTTACTGAAACTTTAGCGTCTGGCACATTCCATGTATTCTCATTTAATCCTCAAAGCAATCCTGTAAGAACGATGCATTATTATACCCATTTTACAGATGTGTAAGTAGAAGCACAGAGGAGAGACTTCGCTCGTGTCCTTGGGTTCTTGTCAATGGTACACGTTTCCTTCTGTAAAGCGGAAATTACAAAAAGGCGCCTGCGTCCTCCTGGGCCAGTAACGACAGCCGTTATCATTACGGTTCCGAAACTCAGCGGATCAGCAAGGACACCCTGGGGAATGAGGAATCCTTAGGTTCGAGTTGGAAAAATACGCAACTACATGTTACCGGAAACTCCATAAGCCGGAACTCGGCAACTAACGCTGTGGAGGGGACGGTACCACGCAGACTCCCAGAGTGTGGGGGCGTGACCCACCCCGGCAGTTTGTCTGGGGGCGCAACGCCTAGTTGTCCACGCAAAAACAGAATTGGGGGTGTAGCCTGTGGGCCCGGGGCGTGGCTGCCTGCGCCGAGAGGTGGTTTCGGGCAGATGCTCCGGTGGTGGGCGTGGCCTGTGGGTCGGGGGCGGGCCTGCGGAAGCGGGGCCGTGGTGTCGTTGCGCAGACGCCATGGCGGAGGGCGGGGCTGCGGTGCGGGGGCGGGTACGGCGGCGGCGGCGGGGCTGACGTGGAGAGTCAGGGTTAGCGGCCGCGGCGAGCTCGGGGATTGGGGCGCGACGGGCCGGGCCGAGCCCTCGGCTCTCGCGACGACAGTGGCGGCGGTATAAAGCCGGCGGCGGGGAGCATGTAATGTCGGAATGCGGAGGCCGCGGCGGCGGCAGCAGCAGCAGCAGCGACGAAACCGAGGACGAGGGTGGCGGCGGCGGCGGCGGCCCTGCGGGCTCCGGCTCCGGCTCCGTCAGCCCGGCCTCGGCTGGAGCCTCGTCGGAGGGCCGGCTCCGTCGCGGGCTGCGCGGCGCTTCTCTGATGGCGCGCCGGCGGCCCGAGCTGCTGTGCGGGGCCGTGGCGCTCGGCTGCGCGCTGCTCTTCGCCCTCAAGTTTACCTGCAGGTGAGAAGACCCGCACTCTGGGGCACCTCCTGACCCTGCCAGGAGCGACGAGTGTGACCCCCCAGCCCCAGCCTGCGCCCTAGGCTCCCCACTTCCCTCTATTCAGCAGGCCAGCCACATGGCGAGTTTTCGGGGGGCAGCCCGGTGCCTCTTGGTCCCATTTTAGTAACTAGGGAGGTGGGTCAGGTTTCGGAGCTGCTTTTCACCTGTTAGGGTTTCTTGGTATGCTTGTCACTTCTGCCCTGGCTGTAGGATCCTTCTTTCTCCATTTCATTATCCTTACTGCCTTCGGTGTAGTGACTCACAGCAATTTTAGGGTTCGAGACCCTTTGAAAATTCATGCGTTCATTCATCTAACAATCAGCTCCTACGATGTGTGTGCCCAGCATTCATCCAGGTGAGCGGACAGGACGCAAGTGTCTGCTCTCTTAAGCGGACATTACAGAGTGTGGGGCAGACACTAATTATATGAATGGGGCGCAGTTTTAAAGGGCTTCGGTGAGTGCCGTGGAGGGCAGAGACCCCATGGGCGTGGGACAAGGTGGAGGAAGAGGCCAGCGTTGGGAAAATGGGGAAGAGTACCCAAAGTAGAAGGAACAGCCAGTGCAAAGGACTCGACAAACTTGGTGGATTTCTGCCAGCTGGGAGGAAGGCCGTTTGGAAGTTGGAGCAGAGCAAACTGGAAAAATGGAAGTTAACATGGCTCTCTTTGGAAAAGCACACGGATCTATACACTGTGCATTTCTTGAGGGCTTTTGGCTGCTCCAAGGAGCCGTGGTGGCACAGTGGTTAAGGGCTCAGCTGCTAACCAGGAAGGTTGGTTTGAACTCCTCAGCTGCTACTGGACAGAAGAAAGATGAGTCACCCTGCTCCTGGAAGTCAGTCCTTGGGGGACAGCCCACCTCTGTCCTAGAGGCTCACTGTTGAGTCTGAATCCACTTGATGGTGACTTGGTTTTGCGGGGTTTTTTTTCTTTCTTTCAACTTTTTATTATGAATTGAGTAAAGGTTTACATAGCATGTCATTAATTTCACATTCAACAAATCGTATACTTTGCTTCATTACATGGTTTCAATCCCTTCCATGTACCAACAGTTAACAGTATTTACTTTGATTCACTGTAACTGTTGCATCCTTCCTGTGCCTCCTGCTACCTTCATCTTTCCTTTGCTAACCTCCCTCTTGTATATTACCTGTCTTGTCAGCTGTGTTAACATGTCTACCCTTCAGCCAGTGAATAATTTCTCTCCCTCTCCTGGCCCCCCTTAATGATCATAGATTGTTTCTTTTATCAGTAAAACCTCCCCCCCCCACCACCTTTTTCAACTTTTACATTGGTGTCATATACTATTGGGCCTTTTCTGATCAACTAATTTCACTCAGCATAATGTCCTCCAGGTTTAACCATGTTGTGAGGGTGTTTCACAGATTCATCATCATTCTTAAACGTTGTCTAGTGTTACATTGTGTGTAAGTATGAAAGTTTGTTTAACCATCTTTTTGTTGATGGGCATTTAGTCTGGCTCCATCTTTTTGACATGTCTCTTATAGATAGCATATTGAAGGATCCTGTCTTCTTAGCCATTCTGTTCACTATATCTCTTGACTGGCACATTTAATCCATTTATAGTCAGCGTTATTATCAGAAGTATGAATTGATTGCTGTCATTTTTCATTTCCTATGGGGATTATTTTGGGGTGTGTGTGTGTGTGTGTGTGTGTGTGGTGCTGCTAGTTCCCAGTTTCTTTGTTCCATATAATTTTCTATGCTATGGCTATAGGGTTTTGGTTTGACCATTCCAGTTTATAAGGCTTTGTTGCCAGTGTCTGTCCTATCAGCCAAGAGGAAGGTTTTAATTTGGGACATTTTTATTGAGCTTGCTATGGACAATATGTGGCCCTTGTCAAAGTGTTGTCAAAGGATTGGGGATTATAGAAGAGAACGAACATGTTACCGTAACGATCAGGTGCTGGGTACTGTACTAAGAACATGATTTCTCAACCTTGGCACTGTCAATACATTGGGCCAGAGAATTCTGTGTTGTAGGGCTGTTGTGTGCATTGTAGGCTGTTTAGCAGCATTCCTGGCCCATATGTACTCTCAGACATGACAGCTTAAAAAATGTCTCCTGATATTGCCCAATGCCTCCTGGAAAGCAGAATCACTGGATTGAGAGTACTGCTTTGTACACATGCATTTATTCATTTAATTCATAGTTAAGAGACTAGTATGGATCACTTTTAAACTTCACAATTCTCAATGAAATCTGGATACACTGTTATCCTTCCCAATTTGCAGATGAGGGAGTTGATTCTTTGGTACATTACAAAGTTGACTCACATCGCATCCAACTAGTAGGTGGCTGAGATTTGGATTCACCTCAACTCTCTCGGAGGGTTCCCAACAGAAAACTATTGTATTCCAAGTACTATAAGGTTAAATATTGCAAAGTGGCATTGAGAGTCAAATTAGGAAGAGAAGTCCCTTCCCTCCCCAAGGACAGTTGGTTATGTTTCATGAGTTTGTCCATTTACAGAAATAATGCTTAATGTCTGTTTTGAGAGAACATGACTTAGGAGGAGGATATGAAAGTCCTTTGAGATTTCAGGAAGAAAACAGGTATGAATCCAGTTAGCAGAGACCGCGAAGCCAGAGCCTTCCCCGCTGCAGGGAAGGAGAGTGAGCCCGGAGTGGTGGGGATCAGCTGACTTCTGTGCCACTGGCAGCTGTGACAGGCTTTGAATAGACTCGTTTTTTTGCCTTCGTCAAGTCTTCTATGCTTGAATGGTCTTATCATGCTGCCTCCTTATCATTGTACCAAGGGACTCTAACATTTCTGTCCCTTTTTTCCTATTTACTTTTGCTGTCTTTGCTTTAAGGAGGACAAAGACTTGGAGAGTTGGATTCGTTTTTTCCTTTTTAAATTAAATTAAATTAAATTAGTGGCAAGTGACTATTCTTTTCAGCATCTGTTGCTGGTTGTTGTTGTTGTTAGGGGCCATCAAGTTGGTACCGACTCATAGCGACCCTGTGCACAACAGAATGAAACACTGCCCAATCCTGTGCCAACCTCACAGTTGTTACCACGCTTGAACCCATTGATGCTGCCACTTTGCCAATCCATCTCGCTGGTGGTCTTCCTCTTTTTCTCTGATGCTCCACCTTACCAAACATGATACCCTTCTCCAGGGACTGGCCCCTCCTAACAATATCTGTTGCTTAGTGGAGGTCAAACCAGGTATTCCTAAAGAAAGCCTTACGGGAGATTGAGGACGTGTACATTTCTGGGCATTTAGTATTGATCCTGCCTGCATTTCTGTGCGTGAAAATCACCATGACTTTGGCCAACTCACTCTCCATGTTACCCCAGTTAGGAGTGAGACGATGTGCATATGTGTATAAAGTGCACATGCCTATAGATTCATTTACTATATTGTAGTTGGTAAGTTGAAAGTTGCCCCAGCCCCTCTTTTGATTGAGGTGTAAGAGTTGAATTTCATATAAAAATTCAGCATTTGTGACAGACTCTTTTTGAGTGGGACCAACTCTTGAGATTTTTATGCCAGAGATTTTCAGAGTAGGAAACCTTTAAGCTAGGCGTGCTGTTGTTGTTAAGGGCTGCTGAGATGGTTTCAACTCCTAGTGACCCTGTATAGGATTTTCAAGGAGCAGCTGGTGGGTTTGAACCACTGACCTTGTGGTTAGCAGTTCAGTGCTTATCCTACAGCACCACACCTCAAAATTGTGAAAACAAATTCAAGGGCAAGTGTTGCTAATTTTCTCCTGCCTGGCTGATGCTTGATTTGAGTAGGTCATTTACTGGTTTACTTCTCAAAGGCAAAAGGACCAAGTTGATGATTATCCTGTATGTGTGTCGCTGTCAGAGTGTAAACATTTTCCCAGATTGCATCACAGGCAGGCCCTGTTTTATGGCGCTCTGCGGATCATCGCATTTGTTTCGTTGGCGTTTTCTTCAGCAAGTAGCAGCTGTGTGACGCTGCTGCAGGGAGCAAGTCTTTTGGCACCATTTTCCCAGCAATACACTCTTGCTTCCTGTCTCTGTGTTCTGTGTTGGTCATTCTTGCACCATTTCGTGCTTCTTCATGATGCTGTGGCACACTTCATAGGACTATGTGGTATAGAGGCAACAAAACTTTTATCTTACTGGGAAAACACAAAAAAACCCAAAAGTTCTCTTGTTTGTGATACTCACTTTCTCACTGTGGTCTGGCACTGAACCCGCTATATTGCAGAGAAGATCTGCCTGCATTTGACACTTAACATGATTTGAATAGTTAAAAACAAAATTCTCTCCTGTAAGCAGAATTTGGGTCTTTTAAAAATGTACCACTTTTCCACACCCTCAGGCTCCGGGCCTTCTCTGCCTCTCTACTGAGGTGTCAGGGAAAGTCATCCCACACTGACCACAGCCCCATGAGTGACCCCGCTCTCTGTCACAGTGCCTTGTTTAAATTCTCCACAGAGCACTGATTATTTTGTCTCCCTGCTTATTTAGAAGTTTCCGTGTTTGCTTTCCTTCATCCCCTGGGAGACATGGTACCCAGCCCACAGCTATGCAGAGTTTGGGCCGTCAACGTTCTCAGTTACCACGTGAGGACTGAACCGCTCAGGTTGTGAAGATCTTCATAGAATGGAAGTTCCTGTTTGCAGGGTTAAAACATTGATTTGCATGGCTCCTTTACAGTCTCAACTATTTCACTATGTTCATTTTTGATTCAAGTGGGAAAATCCTTTTTTTGAAAGTGGCTTATCGATTTAGGAAGCTGATATTCCTGTAAGCACAGTGGGTGTGGGACTCTTTCCCTGCACACTAAACTACCTATTGAGGTCTTGGGTGTTGTTAAGTTTTCTTTTCTGTTCCTCAATGCCTGACAGACTGCTGTTATATTATCATCTGACCTCAAAAGAAAACAAAACCTAAAAAGCCATGCCTACTGACAGTGAATCGGTTTAGACTCATAGTGACCCTTTATAGGGTTTCTGAGACGGTAAATCTTTACAGGAACGTCTGTACCTCATCGTTTCCAAAGGAGCGGCTCGTGGGTTTGAACCACTGACCTTGTGGTAAGCAGCTCAGTGGCTAAACCCGCCCACAGTGCCACCATACAGTACCTCTTCCTCTCGGCTACTTTGCTTTGCTGTTTTCCGAAGAAACCAGATGATCTAGTTCATTTGAACCCACGGAAAGTTACAAGTAATTAGGTGATTCCTTGAGTCACCCCTGTAGTGAAACAAATGAGCCAGTCTCTGACACTGATTTTGATTTGTTCCGAATGTTCTCAGTCCTAAATGTTTGTGTTTGATTTATACTTTCACCCATGTTTAGCTGAGGTCAGTAGTACTGACCTGTTCGTACAGCAAATTATGGCACTTTAGAGTCCCCAAAGCTGCGCTGAACAGGGAGGATCTAGTAGTGAGAAAGAGAGACAAGATCCTTGCCCTAAAGAAGTTGACAGTCTGGTCAAGTTGATCTAGACGAAACCAGTAAAAGAAGTTCTGTGTTGTAATGAGAGCTAAGGAGGCTACCAGGCAGGAGCTGTGAGACAAAATGAAGGCATCCTGTTTTCAGCCAAGAAAACTTCCTTGAGGAGGAAGGACTGCTAGCTGAGCCTATTTTTAAAATCTGCCTTGTTGAGGTAGAATTTACACTCAACACAATTCACATATTTTACGTATAAACGTCAGCAACCTTGGACGCATGGAGCCACCACCCCTGTCAAGACGAGAACTTTTTTTCTTTTTGTTTAACTGTTATGAATTGGTTGAAGGTTTACAGAGCAGATGGGTTTTCATTCAGCGGCACACACGCAATGTGTTTCATGTTTCTGATTGCAGTCCTCACAGTTTAACGTCACTCATCCCACTTCTTCCCTGTGTTTCCCTTTCCATTCCTCCTTTCCTAACCCTTCTGAACTTTGTCCTTGGTGTAGGACATTTTTTCTCCAGAAACTTCCCTCTGTGCTCCTGAACAGTGAGTCTCCTCCCCACCCTGATCAACCACTGATCTGTTTCGCTGTGTATTACTTTTGCCTGTTTTAGAATTTCAAATCATTGTCAACGCAGTCATACCAGGGGGCTTCAGAAAATTCCTGGGAAAAGGAATGAAAAGATCATGGGATTTTTCCAGGCATTTTTAAGCCCCCTGGTATAGTGTGGATTTTTAGGGTCTAACTTCTTGAACTCAGTATCATGCTTTGGAGGCTAGTCCACGTTACACTGCATTATCAACACTTCTTTCTTTTTTGCGTTGTCGGGTGACATATAATTCTAAGCATATGCCCCAATCTTGGGGAACGTGGTGACTCCATACCATAAGCACTGGACTGCAAACCACAAGGTCCGCAGTTCAAATCCTTCAGGCACTTCATGGAAGAAAAATGGAACTTCAGCTCCTGCCCAAAGATTGAAAGCCTCAGAAACCCTATACAGGGTCGCTGAGTTGGAACTGATTCGATGATTCTTACTAACAACCCCAGTTTATTTATCCATTCACCTGGTGAATCCTGCCAGCATTTGTAAGCTTACTGTTGAAATGGTTTGTTTTTTTCCATCCTTATTCTTTCTTCCTGATTGTTGAGTCTTATTTCTTTGTCCTGCTTGGAAATCCCTTCCTCCTCATTCAGTTTGAATTTTTTTATATTATGGTTTGGGTGTAAGTTTACAGAGCAAGTTAGTTTTCCACCCAACTTTTATATACGTTTTGGTTTGTGACATTTGTTGCAATAGTTCTTTTTTCTTTATTGAATGGACTTACTGACAGGCTCAGAAAAATACCTATCATCCCACACTGGATCCCAGCCAAAAAAACACCTTAGGTGCTAAGTTCATTCTGACTCATGGTGATCATATGTAATTCAGAGGTTTTCAATGGCTGTGACTTTTCAGAAGAAGATCACCAGACCTTTCTTCCGAGGTACCTGAGTGGATTCAAACCACTCATCTTTCAGTTAGTAGGTGAGCACTTGCTATTTGCACCATCAGAGACTCCTGCCTGGTCCTTAAAAAACAAAACAAAACACTTCTGAAGCAAAAGAGAATGAAGAAAGCCCAAGAATCAGAGGAGCCAGATGATAGGACTAACTGTCTTCATGAACCACTACCTCCTGGACCTGGAGACCAGAAGAACTAGACGGGGCCTGGCCATCACTACTGAGCAGGGACACAGTAGATGGAGCCTAAGGAGCTCTGGTAGCGTAGTGGTTACGAATCGGGCTGCGAACCATAAGGTCAGCGGTTCAAAACTACCAGCCGCTCCGCGGGAGAAAGATGAGGCTTTCTACTCCCGTAAAAATTCACACCCTCGGAAACCCTGTACAGGGTTGCTATGGGTCGGAACCGACTCGACGGCACTCAACAACAACAACAACAACTGACAGGAGTGGACTCAAGTCTGTCTTCTCCTTGTTTACTCTCCATGTTTCCCTGTATAGGAATTGGTTCCTTCCTGCCCGCTATTGGTCCTTTCCTGACCTCTCTTTGGGGCTCCAGAATGTTTGTGGAAAAACTGTTATCTTTTCATTCATTTTACACAGAATGTTTTGAAGCCCCCTCCTATTTTTCAGGGTACATTTCTTCTTTCCTCAAGGGTTTTATGCTTTGCTAGTGAAAACATGTGGGAAGGTAAAGGTCCCTTGAATTTGAGGGGACACAGCCTCATTCATACAAACCCACTTGGTCTGGGTAGGGAGAGTTGGTAGCAGCTCTGTGACTTTGGACCTCTTGTCCAGTGTTCTGTTCCTCCTCATGACTTCCCCCTTCAGGGATCCTCAAGTGTTCAGGAAGCCTGTTTTCCAGAGAAATACTTTGTTGCCATGTAACTGATTTATTAACCTTTAGATTATGGTCTATATTTGGAGAAGTCTGTTTTGTTATTTAGTGATTCCTTTTGATTGAATGCCTTGGACGAATACAGGTCAACTCCAGGAACTGACATATTGTATTCTCCAAGTTGAGTTGATGGTGAGTGTCTCCCATAGACGCCTCATGAGAGGTGGCTGTGGGTGTGTCCTCCCTTCCATAGCTCTCATGGACCTCGTCTCAGTGGAGAGCAGGCTGAGAGATGAGGATGGAGTCAGACTCCAGGATTCAGATTATTCTGAAACTGATTTACCACTGCACTGCTCTCCCTGCCTCTGCACCTGGGGAGACAGAATATTGGAGAATTATTTTCACCCTGTGATTCACGTCTTACATCATTCTCTCCTGCAGATGTTGCCTAAGTACAGAGTTTTGTTTTTGTTAAACTCCAGGACAGCTGTTTTTAGAACTCCGTTTTCTTATTCAAGAGGAACCTTTTCAAGTCTGGCTCTCCTTCCGCACCAAGCTGCTGTCAGAAGAAGATGCACTAAGTCACCTTGTTTGTGTTTGCTCTTTTGTAGTCGAGCAAAAGATGTGATCTTACCAGCAAAGCCGCCTGTCAGCTTTTTCTCCTCGAGGTCACCGGTCCTTGACCTCTTCCAGGGGCAGCTGGACCATGCAGAGCACATTCGGCGTGACTCGGAGGTGGTGCTTCTGTTCTTCTATGCCCCGTGGTGTGGCCAGTCCATCTCTGCCAGGGCAGAAATTGAGCAAGCAGCGAGTCGACTTTCAGACCAGGTAATGCTCGTGTTCGCCTAACTGCCTGTGCTTATTGCCTAGGGCTGGATGGCACTAGGGGCACACCTTGCCCACCTGGCTGATTTTTACACGGTGAGGTGTTCTGAGCAGAAACGGCCAGTCATGGTTGGTTAGTGGCCCGGCTGGGAGCACAGTCTGCCTCTGGTGAGGACGCGGGTGCTCCCCCTGGGGCTGTGCTGCTAGGTCTCAAGTGAACTGAGTGGGTGCAAGGACACAGTTGCCAGTTCCCAAATGTCGATTTCACGTAAGTGGCAATTACTCTGTGGTGCAACTACATTGTAACCGTGCGGACCCTGTTTTTGTCTTTGTGTCCTTTTATGGTACAATACAGTAAATACAGTATAGAAGCAGTCTGCCGTGTTAACCATTTTCAGTGACCCGAATTACGCTCTTCCTGCTCGTGTGTGTTGTTTTTAAGTGCTGTCCAGTCGGTTTTCAACTCCTAATGTCCCTGTGTATGGTGTCCGAGCATGTCCATCTTTATAGGAACAGAAAGCCTCATCTTTTCCCCATGGATGAGGGAGTTCAAACCGCTGACGTTGTGATTTACAGTCCAGGGCTTATCAGTCAGAGCCACCGCATTCTTATGTTTGTGTCAGACAACAATAATCATCAATATCTATTTAAAAGATTTTTTTTCATCAGCCCACTAGAAACTTGATACTCCTTCAGCTGTAATTCCCAATCCCTGCATTTCTCCAGCTCCTGGTACCCTGTACTAGGCTTTGGTCTTTGTGCATTGAGGGCTGGCCTTCTTAATACCTGAACCAACAGTCAGTGAATGTCCCCTCTGTGCTAGATAAGAGCGCTGTAATCAGCAAATGAGACCACCGCTGTGGTGGAGCCAACAGCCCACACATCTCTGGTGCCCCCCCTTAACGGCCTGAAGATTAATTCATAGATGCTCAAACTTCCATGCCCATGTAATTTAGAAATTAACGTTCTCGAGCTCTGTTATCAAAGAGGTTGGAAAAGCACAAGTAATTTATAACTGAATTTGAATGGACTAGGTGTTTCATTATGGAAATCCCTAGGTAGGCAGCCCAATGTTCCTGGCTGTACCATCCCTGTGACTGGGACAAGTCCACACTGAGAAGGTGCGTTGTCCTGGTGACTCTGCCACTTTGGGGCATTGCTCTCAGTGAACTGCTCTTGGGAACATTGTGACCCAAACTGTGTACGGCCCTCAGTTTATTCACAAGTTGCCTTCCTGAGGAATCCAGTGGCTGGTGGAGCTTTTACTTTTGGATCCACGTATAAAATGCGGTGAGGGCCTGGAATTGGAAACTCATGAATAGATTTTTATCCCAACAGCAAGGAGCCCTTGATGGTGCACCGGTTAAGCACCCAGTTGCTAACTGAAAGGTCAGTGGTTTGAACTCAACAGCCGCTCTGTAGGAGAAAACGGTGGCAGTCTGCTTACATACAGACTACAGTCTAGGAAACCTTCTGGGGCAGTTCTACCCTTGTCTTGTAGGGCCGCTAGGAGTCGGCATAGACTTGACAGCAGTGGCTTTGGGCTTTTGGTTTGCCCAACATGACTGTTCAATAGGCTATTTTAAACACCTTTGGGGACCTAGAACAGCAGAGGAAGAAGGAAATCCAGGAATAGGAAGAAGGAATGGAATGTGTGGCTAATTGCTTCCATGAATAGCTGCCTCCTTTGCCCTGAGACCCCAAGAACTAGATGGTGCCTGGCTCCTATTACTCAACATTTTGATCACAGATTCCACAGAAGGATTCTGAACAAAAGAGGAAATTTGCAGAACAGAATTTCAAATACTCATGGACTCTAGGCTTTGTGGCACCAAAGAGAATGGATGAATTCCTGAAACTGTTACTCTCAGATCATTTCTAAATTTTACCTAAAAATATCCTCTGAAGTCTTAAAACGTCACAATATTCTAACTTAATGAGTAAAAAAAAAGTCCACCTTGATCATAATGATCGTTTTAAAAACTTTCTACTGCGAATTGCTTGAAGATTTACAAAGCAGGTCAGTTTTTTGTTCAACAATTCATGCCCATTGTGTTTGATCTTAGTGAGTGCATGTGTCTCAGTCCCTCCCTGTGTTTTCTTCTCCGATTTCTCATCCTTCCCTAATCCTTCCGTATTTTATACTTGGGATGTTGTTGTTGTTGTTATGTGCCATCCAGTAGGTTCTCACTCATAGCAGTCTGTTAATATGGGATCAGAGTGACAACAGAAACTCTAAAGGTCACTTAGGCAGCTTCTGACACAACGAGTAGGTTCATGGGGATGGAATAACTCAGAAAAGGAGATTGAGAATGGTTTTACAACTTAAAGAATGTAATCAGTGTCACCCAATTTCACATGTAGCAACTGTTCGATGGGTGTTTTGTTGTGTATATTCTGAATAGCAATAAAATAAATATAAAGGGAAAACAAACCAACTCCTGGGAAAACAGGTGGGTTCTTGGCTATGCTCAGGATGTTGAGCGTTGCAGGACGTCTAGGAGAGAGCTCCTACCCAGCACATGCGCAGTAGCATCCGTGCCCACCGGTGGAAGAGACTCTTGCTGACAGCCACTGATCTGAAATGATTGTACAGGTGGCCTCCCATTCCAGAAGTGTGAGGCTTACAGTGGGTTTCTTTTAGAAACAATGTTATAAGTGGTGACTATCCTCCCTGCCCACCTCAAAGAAGAGGTTTAACTTTAGTCCTGATAATCTTACCAAGTACTGTGAAACATATATGGAGTCCTATAGGATCAGCACTAGACTGCTCACTACAAGGGTTGGCAGTTCAAACCCAGCAGCTACTCCTTGGAAACCCTAATCAGGATCGCTATGAATGGGCCAACTTGATGGCACTTGATAGCAACAACAAACTGAAAATATAGCTTCCATTCTTAAAACAGTGGGAGGGGGAGTGCATTCTGTGTTCCAGCTTTGGACACCCTCCACCCCCCATGGACTTACTTCCTGTCATCCTTTACCTCCGTTTCCTTGGCCATGTCTGCCTGGAACCACACTCGCAGCTGCTTCCCCGTGCTCCAGAAGAAGAAACAGGAAGTCTAATGGAGTATTCAGAACCAGCAGTATGCTAGACTAACTAAGTCACTTAGTTCAGCCCCAGGTTTTCTGAATTTCAAGAACAAGGATGACTTCTTCCGGTAGGGAGTGGGGAAGCAGTCTGTTTGTGTTCTGAGTGCTTTGTAAGTTCAGTGTCATCTTACGTCCGCTTCAGCATTGTGTCCTGAAGTGTTTCCATTGGAGCAGCATTCTGGTGAACCGACAGGTGATGCTCAGCCTTGTTTTCCTCTTGAAGGGGGACCTCGGGCTTAGAGGGGCAAAGCAGTTAGCTCAAGTGAAGATCATGCAGTGACAAATGGCGGAGTTTACAGCATCATCCATAACCTAACAGACACGGTTTGGGTTTTCTTTAAAATTCAAACAGCGTTGTCAGTTCTTTAGAATTGAGAGCTTATAAATTTGTGTTCTTAGTATAGTGGGCTTATTCAAGTTACAACCATGGTAGATTAAACCTTGTTTTTGAGTAAAAAAAATGAAATATCACTGTTAAGTGAAGATGTTGCTGCTTTCCTTCCCACTATACAGACTCCGAGGAGCTGGAAAAAGTTGCCACTCAGGTCTGAGCCACGTTCCTGTTTTTAGGAGGGGTAGGGCCTCTGGAGGAACCCTGGTAGTGTAGTGGGTTATGAGTTGGCCTGCTAACCCCAAGGTCAGCAGTTAGAATCCCACAGCTGCACTGCAGGAAAAAGATGAGGTTCTCTGCTCGGGTAAAGATTTCCAGCCTCGGAAACCCTGTACAGAGTTGCTGTGACTCGGAACCTACTCGACAGCACACAGCCACCTCTATAAGGTATTAGGCATGTGCAGGTGACTTCATTTGTTCTCTTCTCTAATACTTTATTATGAAAAATTTCAAATATACTGCAATATTAAAAGAATTTTACCATGCGCACCCATATAGTCATTACTGTTCATTCTCTTGACATTTTCTTGCACTTGTTTTATTACATTTACACTCCAGCTGTCCCTCTAATCTAGTGATTTTCAACTAGATGCGATTTTACCTCCATCTCCACCCCCCAGTCCTTCCTCAAGGGCATATCGGCAGTGTCAGGGGGTGTTTCTGTTACTAGGGGTATTCTGACATCCTTGTGTAAATATATGTATCTATATGTTTACTATTTACTAATAAGCTGTTGTTCCACAGGAAAGAGCTCAGTTTGAGGACGAGTTAATGGTGTTAGAGGAGAATATTGATAGTACCGTACTCTGCCAGAAGAACAAACCAATCTCTTAGAAGAAGTGCAGCCAGAATGCGCCTTAGAAGCCAGGATCGCCAGACTTTGTCTCTTCTTGTACTGTCGACATGTTATCTATCAGGAGGGACCACTCTCTTCAGAGAGTCCTCGTGTTTAGCAAAGTGGAGGGTCAGAGAAAAAGAGGAAGATGCTCAAAGACATACACTGACACAGTGGCTGCAAAACTGGGCTCACGTGTAAGAACAACGTTGAGGGTGGCACAGGCCCCAGCAGTGTTTGTGCGTAGGCTTACTGACTGAGTCAGAACCAACCTGAGCACCTAGCAACAGTGAGTCCTGGTGTGGTGCTGTGGGTTAATGTGCTAGAAGGCAAACTTGGTTTGAACCACAAGGTTAGTGGTTCAAGCTCACCAGTCGCTTCTCAGAAACCCTAAACAGGCTTGCTATGGGTTGGAATGACTCAGTGGCACTTCATAATAACAACAACAACAACAATACGCATTTAAAGCCTAGGTTTAATACTCTCTGACTTGATCTGCTAATTTAAAGAGTAGCTTATAAGAAAGGCCCTGTACAATTTGTGGTATTTTAATTGCAGGTGACGTTTTCCTTTTTCATTCTTAGATGTTGTGTGTGACTGTCAGAGACATCTCCCTTGCTACATTTTAGTGCAATCTTGCTTATTAGAAAAAGCTCATTGACTCTCATTGATTTTAGAATTCAGGGGAAATCCTTTTCCTCTTGGGCCAGCCTCCACCATATTCAGAATCCTACATAGAAACCACGGGACAGGGGCTTTTTTATTTTAATGGCAAGTGATCACATCACCTGTATTTGAAAACGTGGAACACCCCTTTTTTAAACTTTGTGTTTCATTGAGAGAGGAATAGTTCCATTTCTCTAATTTTATCTTTTGAAGTTTTGGTAATGTTTCTGTTGTTCATAATCATTTAGAAACTTTTTTTTTTTTTTTTTTGTGGTTTTGCAGGTGTTGTTTGTGGCAATTAACTGTTGGTGGAACCAGGGGAAATGCAGAAAACAGAAACATTTCTTTTATTTTCCTGTAATATATCTGTATCATCGGAGGTAAGAAATTTTTTAAGTGTTGTTTCTAACCCTCATCAGTTTAAAAGTGAATTTGCTTTTTTGTGTTTAAAAATATTGAAAATTAAGAAAAATAGAGATAAGAAAGAAAACAAACATTTTATGAGCCGTACAGCATCAGTACACTTCCTCCTCACTTATGACCTGTCTCCTTATCCAACTGCTTGCCTTTGCAGCAGTAATAATCAGTCCTGATACCTTGCACATTGCCGCTGTATGTCCAGTGGTAACGAATGTCAGGCTGCGAGGCGAGAGTCAGTGCTGGCTGTGATGCTTCACGGTCCCTGTCAGCTTGATTGGTCAGTGATTCTCAATGGTTTGGCAGTTATGTAATGATGGGGGTCATCTTCAGTCTCTGATTAATGCCCAATAAGAGCATAATGACCTGGTCACAATTTAACCCTGTTGGTCAGTGAGAAATAGATTTTCATTGATATTTTCCTGTGACTACATAATATATGTGGAGTCCTGGTGTGGCGCTGTGGGTTAATGCGCCAGACTGCAAAGGCGTTTGAACTGCAAGGTCGGTGGTTCAAGCTCATCTGTTGGTCCTGGGAAACCCTATACAGGGTTGCTGTGGGTCAGAATCGACTTGATGGCACTTAACAACAACAACATATAATATATGGAGTCCTGGTGTGGCGCTGTGGGTTAATGCACCAGACTGCAAAGCCATTTGAATTGCAAGGTCGGCAGTTCAAGCTCACCAGCTGCTGCTCAGAAGCCCTATACAGGGTTGCTATGGGTCAGAACTGACTCGATGGCACTTAACAACAACAACATATAATATATACATCCACCCCCTTTTTAAAATAGGGATCTTAGTGTGGTGCTGTCGTCTTAGCACTGGATTGCTAACCACGAGGTTAGCAGTTCAAACCCACCTTTGAAATCCTTTTAGGGTTGCTATGGGTCGGAACTGACCCAATGGTTTGTAACAAAACTGACTTTTTACAACAAAAACAGATCTGTGCAGTAATATAATTTTTTAAGCTACTTTTTGTCAGTATCTTGTGAACATCTTTTCAGGTCATTATCTACCCTACAGCCTTGTATTTAACAGTGTAGTGGTTACAAATCGGGCTGCTAACCTCAGGGTCAGCAGTTCGAAACTACCAGCTGTTCCATGGGAGAAAGAGGAACAGGCTTTCTGCTACCGTAAAGATTTACAGCCTTGGAAACCTTGTACGGGGTTGCTGTGAGTCGGAATCAACTCCACGGCTTATAACAACAATACTCCCAGTGTTCTACAGAACAAAAGTATGTAGAACTCCTCACTGGTTTACCTGGCATCAGAGCTTGTTCAGGAGCTGTATCTCACGGTCTTTCAGACTGGAGGGAAATTTAACACAGTGAAAACCTGCCTGAGTGGACCTGTGAAAGACAGAAACTGCCAGAGAAGGAAATCCCACAGAGTTTCCAGTGAAATGAGAGATTGGAGAGTGGTAAAACTGTGCCCTTTTGAAGGCAAGAAACTTGAGAGATTCGGAAAAACAAGGCAGTCCCATTGAGTTCTGGCTCTCACAGGGTTCATTGTACGGGTTCACAATCCTGTGTCCACTGTTCTGAAATCCATAAACCTCTGACATTCGGTTTTTCAGAAATCTTGTTCCCAAATGTGTTTATCTGGCCTGAATCAACAAGAGGCTCTGCCGCTTGAGTGCCTCATTCATTTGACTTGCTGCAGAAATACTGGTATTTGACTTTTTCAAATCCCATGCAGACCCTCCCGTGGTGTTAAGTCCTATCTACGATCTGACTTGAAGTTGGGACTTTGGACTTATAATTGTCTTTGTTCAATGTGATTGGCTTGAATTTTATTAAGAAAAATGGATAAAGAAGAGTTGATTAATAAGAGGTTTTTTGGTGTTTGTTTTTTAAATGGGCTTTATTTTTCCCTTCTCTCCGGACTACCTGAGACTTAATCAGTGGTAGCTTATAAAAAACCTTAACAGGACTTTATTGTTGGTGACGTGTCAGTGGGCATTTGAGCACGCAGCCTCACATCTCCAGCCCGAAATGTCGTGCGGCACATAGTTTTGTTTCCTGGGAGCAAACAGTATTAGGGCCAAGCCACACTTTCTACCCCGTTCCATCCCCAAATTTCCCTCTGGGTGTTAATTCCGTGTGTGTGGTATGGATAGTTAGAGTACCATGCCAGTGTTGGCTTGGGAGTCATTGAGCCCGTTTTCTGACCTTCTCCCTCTTTTGGTCAGTCATTTAGAGCTCCTGCTCTCTCTATTTTGAAGGTGAAAGTGCAGGGCTGTTCAGATTTACTTATTATTTTAAAGGGAGCTCTGGTAGCGTAGTGGTTACAAATCGGGCTGCAAACCTGAAGGTCAGCAGTTTGAAACTACCAGCTGTTCCATGGGAGAAAGATGAGGCATTCTGCTCCTGTAAAGATTTACAGCCTTGGAAACCGTGTACAGGGTCGCTATGAGTTGAAACCGACTCCACAGCACATAACAACAACAACAAATACATTGTAGTGGAGTCCTGGTGTGGCACTGTGCATTGATGTGCTGGACTGCAACATCGGTTTGAACTACAAGGTTGGCTGTTGAAGCTCACCGGTCATTCCCCAGAAACCCTATATAGGACCGCTGTGAGTCAGAACTGACTTGATGGCACTTAACAACAACAACATCATACTTCGTAGTGGAGTCTTGGTGTGGCTTTGTAGGATAAGCACTGGACTCCTAACCACAAGCTTGGTGGTTCGAAGCCACTAGGCACTCCATGGAAACCCTATACAGGGTTGCTGTGAGTCAGAACTGACTCCATGGTACGTAACATCAACAGCGACATACTTTGTAGTAGAATCCTGGAGTGGACACTGTAGGATAAGCACTGGGTTGCTGACTGCAAGGTTGGTGGGCCAAACCCACCAACAGCTCCTTGGAAACCCTATACAGGGTCCCTGTGAGTCGGAACAGACTCGACGGCACTTAATGACAACAGCGACACACGTTGCAATACTCAGATGTTCTTAAGGTCTGATGTTTGTGGCAGGCTGATGAGCTTGCCCTATGGAAATAGTCACAGGTGCCCAGCAATGAGTAGAGTCCTTTGAACGCTGTGTAAGCAAGCCAGGTGAGCTTCATTGGGTGTGACGTTAAGATAGCCGTTCCCTTGAACTGAACGCAAAATATCATTTTGGTGCCTTTGAGTATGCAGTATTATTTTAGACTATTTCGTTTGCTTAGGTTTTGTAGCAAGATTGAAAGAACTTGAACGGAACTTTGAAAGTATCTAGTTAGTCTTCTCATTTTGCAGATGTGGAATTTGGGGTTGGTCCTCGCCTTCCAATGACCTTCCCCTTAAGCTTTTCCCATTGGAGTGTTACTGGTTCAAGTCAGTTCAGACCTGTTCATACTCATTTCAACATCTACTTTTCCTATGATACCTAAAACAGAAACAGAAGGAAATGACAAGGCTCAGACTCTTTTAAACAGTCGCCTTTTTGTATTCCACCAAGGAATCATCATGACCTCTGTTTTCTTTGTCTTGTGGCATATGTTTATATGAAGGTGTCCCATCACCTGAACTGCCTTGGACATTCAGAAGTCATTAGATTACAGGGCGTGCAAAGGGGGCCCTTGAGCCCATGACTGGACAGATCACTGTTGTTTGGGTGTTGGTGTTGGTGATGTAGCTGTGTATTTAGTGGCTTCTCTGGTAGCTTTTCTGATTTGTGAAACTAGATTCTTTTTTGTTGTTGATGGTGACTTGTAGTGATGCACGTCACTAAGAAAGTTTATAGAAGGGCCTGAAGCAGAGAGTGGTTTCTGAAATCACTCAGAACAGACCCCAGCAGCGCTGCGTCAGCTCGTCATATGGCATGTCTTCACTTTGTGGGTAAAGTGTCCTGCTTTCTGGGGTTCAGTTAGCCTTCGCAACAAGTCAGCAGGACGCTTGTAGCATCCGGCCAAGAAAGTTCCCCAAAGGAGGTTTGCTTGAGTACCTGAGGTTCCTGGTTGGTTGACTCCTTTATTTTCTGAATAAAAAGTAAGTAGGTGCTCTGCTAATTTTCCCCTTTGAAGTGAAAATTGGTGGAGTTGTTGGTGGTGATTTTTAAACATAACTAGCGCGTAGTAAATCTTAAGTGACTAGAATTACTCAGCTGTCTCTCAGCTGTGCGTGTAGAAGGTGGATTTTACTTTTTTCGTGCTTGTATGTCTGGCACTGTAGAATCCGCACTGGACTGCTAACCACAAGGTTGGTGGTTTAAACCCACCAGCTGCTCTCAGGATTGCTATGAGTGGGAACCAGCACAGCGGTACTCAGTAACAACAACATGACTCTGTCCGGCACCATATTCTGCAGAGCTTTCTGAGGAATTGAGTTTGTCTCATCACGTTATGTGTGCAAGTGTGAATTTGTATCACCATATACACGATTGTGTGGTATAGTGTTGTTATCATAGTATTAATAACACTTCTTGACTGGACTTAGTCTGTTACTGGCCAGCAAAGCTTCCTGCCAATTTCTGTGTTGCTATTCCTCCACCCCATCAATTTTCTTTGAGCAGTGTGTGTGTTGTGCCAGATTGAAGAAAGCCATGAGAGGATTCGGATTAGGTGCGGAGGGTGACTGAAGGTTGCTCAGTTACAGTCCCCTGGAAGGGGAAAGGAAGGAAGTTCATTGTGCAGGTCCCCGAGATCAAACTTTCACATGCTTCCTTTTTTTTTTTTCTTTTAATGTTTCAATAAAGCTTTAGGTAGGCTGAGGGGTCATTTAAGAATCCTTGGTGCAAGAACCTACAGGAACATTTAATAACTGCTTATGGAGTAGGCCAAGGGCCACAGGCCCTGCTTACTTCAGAAGGAAATTCTGTCCCTACATCAAATTTATGTAGTTACGATCTTGGAATCCTTTAGCATGTGGTCAGTTTCCAGGGCCGTCTGTCTTTCTTTTAAAAAAAAGAAATATCGTCAGAATTAATTTTGTTGTGTTTTTGAAATTCAGTGTGCAGTTGAGTTAGTAAGCACAGAAGAGTGCTGCCTGTGTGTGCCTCCCCTTCCCTAAAATGTTCGTCCTTCATTGGCCCCCAGTCATTGCCTTAAACAAAGCAGGCCGCTTACTCTCTGAACCGTCCAGGCCCTAACACAAGGTGTTTTCATTTTGTGGTGTTGATGATTTCAATGATGCGTTTACAGGTTTAATGCATGGTGTATTATTTTTATTTTTTTATGTTTTTTTTTTTTTTGGTACTAGTTTTGGACCAATCGAATACAAAGGCCCCATGAGTGCTGTTTACATTGAGAAGTTTGTCCGCCGGGTGATGAAACCACTTCTCTACATCCCATCTCAATCAGAATTACTAGATTTTCTCTCAAACTACGAGGTACTGATCTTTCGTCTCTCTTCCCATTTCCAAAGCTGTTCACTGGGTTGTATTTGATTTGATTTTTCACCCCCTTACTAATTGATGTGAATCAATGAAAAGCCGAAATTGTGGATAAACCCCAATTAAGTGTTTCCTGAGCTACTGAAGGTAGTGGGGATGGTTTTAGCCAGGTGAATTAGCAAAAGGAAGACTTGTAAAATACCTTGTCTGTTTTGTGTTTGGGAGTTTTCAACAAATGTTCAATTTAGTTCACAGTTCACTTAGCGTATGTAAGACTTAACTTACATTGTACACAATTTGTATGCAGTTTTAAATTTCTAAATATTTTCTTTTAAGATGTGCAGCATTTTTCCTAGGAGAGATCTGGTTGTCGTTGTCAGGTGTAGTTTAGTTGAGTTTTTTTTTTTAAGTGGAAACAGGCTTCTTTCAAGTTTATGAATGCATAAGCATAAGTATCTCAGGATCTTTCTAGCAGAAAGCTTCCAAGCTTATTCGCTGCTTCCCTGTTGCCGGTTTCAACCCCTGCTGACGTATTTTTACAGGACCTAAAACTGAGTGTTCAGGACAGTGTGATAGTGAGAGATCAACATTAAATTACAAATCATCTCAATGAAGTATTAACATATTTCCACAAAGGTGAAGGAATTTCAAAAATTTCACAATCAAAATGGCATTAAAAGATAATGAAATTTTTCCATGCTTCTTTTGAAGCCCCTTGTATATGTTGTATAGATTGGAAATGTTTTTTGTTTTTTTTTTCCTTTTCTTTTCTCATGAGAACATTGTTGACAGTTTTGTTTATTCCCCCAAATCACATTAGAAATATTATATACGTGTCAAGTGTTAGCTGGTTCCCTAAACAGCTGTGTTAACATCTAGGTACTCTGCTTGTAAGTCTTGAGTATGCGTCAGAGTAAGTACCTGTTTAATCTTGTGTGGGTAAAGGAGGATTCCAGCATCCCTCACAGGCTTGTGTCCCTTTCACCTGGTCAGGCTGCAGGCCAAGAGTCACACTGAGAGGGGACACCTGGACTTATCCCCTTTGTCTGTGGCGTGGGGCAGCTTACTCACCTGCTGGACACTAGATGTGTGGACTCGGGCTTTTCTGAGAGTCCATTGAACTCTCGTGTGCTGTCACTGTGTGAGCAATGAATCTTCATAGCGATTTGCAGTTGGCCTCAGGCCAAGGGGTGGCACAGCATAGTGGGGTAAGAGTTGGGAGTCAGGTTCAGCCATGCCACCTTCTCATTTGTGTGTCTCCGGGTATTTCGTCTCCCTTTGCCTCCATCTCCTCGCCTGTAAATAGGGATAAAAGAGAGAAGAAATAGAAAATGCCTAGGATGTTGCCCCAATCAATGCAAATTTTACCTGTAAAAGTGACGTGGTGGAAAACATTCTGGATCTTTATAGCACTATTGAGAGATCCTAGAATGTACACAGTACCTGCTGGGATTTCTCTTTTAGATGGGGAAACTGTGGTTTGTAATTCATATGACAAGAAAATGCTCTGCCAGTGCTGGGTGGTCGTCTTTCTATGTTATTCTGCTCTGGGACTTTGTAGAGTCCTGTGCCCACTTTGGATTGAGACCCACTGGTGTTATCTTTAAACATACATGTGTTTTCTTCTAAAAAGGAGAGAGAACCGGAGAGGGGCTGTGCAGCATCGCCAGCTGTCATCTGCCTTGTCTTTCTATCCCCTACCACCAAAGTACGGGGAGGTGACTTGCTCTGCCTACTAAGCAGAGGGCTGGGAGGCAACTTCAGCGTCATTTTCAGCTCCTTCTGAGGTCTGAGTCGAGAGAGTTCTGAACTAGATTTTTGGATTCTGTTCTTAGCAGAGGTCGTGTGATAAAGTAGAAGGACTTAGCTAGGATCCTGGAGGCTAGGATTTAGTGAGTTCCACTCTGATTTCTTGTCCCTAAATTGAGAGAGTTGGCCCGGATAATCCCCACTGAACCTTTCGTTTTGAAGTGCAGAGGTTTGGAGAGAGGCTGACAGATGAGGCTTCATAAAGGTTGGGGTGGAAGAGCATTTTGAAGCAGTGCCCTTGGAAATCTGTATCAGAGATCTTTCTAGTCCTTTACAAATAATTCCTCTAAGATGTTTCTGGTGGTGTAGTTCGTTAAATAATGTCCTGCTAAACTTGAAATTGGTGGTTCGGATCCACCAGCCATTCTGAGGGAAGAAGATGAGGCTGTCTTCTCCCATGAAGATTTACTGTCTTAGAAACCCAAAGGAGAAGTTCCACTCTACCCTCTAGGGTCATTGTGAATTGGCATTTACTTGGAAATCCTGTACAGGGTCACTGTGGGTCAGAACAACACCACAGTGGTTTTGGGTTTGGTTTGAAGATGTTTCTAATGGTCTTTCTAGTTGTAGCTTCAGGAACAAGACAGGTACCCATTGATGACTGGGTCGAAGGGCCCTTTAGTCTCTGTGATCTTTGAACCTGCCCTTCAGCAGTGCTGTCAGACGTCACACTCCTGGTACTGACCTTGAGTTCACAGCACATGCACGGATGGGCCAGTGATGCTACTCAAGGGTGTCTTGTGGCAGTCCCCTTAATTAGAGCGATTTGACTGGTTTGCCACGAATGCCATCAGAACAGGAACTGAAAGAGCTCTGTCGAGATGAGACCTGAATGTAGCGTCTGTCTGCCTTTCAAAGGCTTCCTCCCAACAGCTGTGCATAGCTGTTCTCGCGTTGGTGTCACGTTTGCCTGGGTCTCTCTCTATGATGAAATTGTCTGGTTAGGAAACGACAATACTTGATTAGAGGACTTTGGTGCAAGAGCTCGGGAGTCAAGCCCCTTTCTTCATTCTCCTTACAGAACCATTTATCTCGTGAACTGTACCAGTTAGGACTGTCTGCAAAGAAGCTGTATCGGTTTTCTACACACACCCTGCATGTAAGATAACAAAGGCAGGATCCAGGTCCAGAAATGACAGCACAGCTGTAATGCTGTCAGTGGAGTGAACGTGGGTGTCAGAACGCTGAAGGGAGTTTTGGACGTCCTATACTAGAGATGTAAACAGTTTGTGCATGGCTGCTGACTGAAAGGTTGATAGTTCAAATGTCCTCAGCCGCGAAAGAAAGGTCAGGCTATCTTCATCCTTAAAGTGAAATCAGTGTTGCCAAGTCGATTCCAACTCATAGTGCCTCTGGAGAATAGAGACGAACTGCCCTAGAGGGTTTCCAAGGCTGTGATTTTTTTACAGAAACAGGCTGCCATATCTTCTCCTGTGAGTGGCTAGTGTTTTTGGCAAATGAAGGCCATTTACTGACTCACAGAAAACAGCCAACAATAGCATTAGTTTTGTGGTGAGTAGTTTTGAGCAGTCTGATAGGAGATGGGGACTCTTGTACACATGCGGGGCCTCTTTGCTCTACAGCTGAGGGACCTCAGTGTCCCTCCCAGCCAGCTTTCTACTCCAGGGACTCGGTGTACCAAGATTTTCCTGCCTGAAAGTACAAGGAGGGGATGCTTAGACAGTCGGGCACCAGGGGGAATTTTGTCACTTTCACCCTCCTATATCTGGGAGAACATCAGGGGTCAGGGTGGGCTGTTGCTTCTCTGGAATCTAGGAAACCCCAGTAGGAAGAGGAATGGGGAGTAGCTGTGGTTGAGGGGCCACCTGAGGGGCTGTCTCCTTTCCCTCCCTCCATCCCCACCCAGTCCTCTGCTGGCTTCCAGGCCAGAATTGATAGGTCAGGGTTAGTACCTGTGACCCAAACTAAACGAGGCGTAGTCTGTTTTGGTTTTCCTCTCAACTCTGTTTCCTGTTGTCATTGTTTTGCCCAAGATTGAACACTTGAACACTTCCCTCAGAATTTTAGAACAGCAGTCAGCGCTGAAGACTAAAGCAGTCAGGGGCAATGTTCTGGAGATCTTAAGGGTGCTGTTTCCTTAGGGGCTGAAGGTGGTCAAATTCAGAGGATGAAAAGGAAGAGGAAAGCAGGTGTCTGCCGAGTGGATTCTGGCTCATGGTGATGCCATGTGTGTCAGAGTAGAACTGCGCTCAACTGGACTGTCTATGGCTGATTATTTGGAAGTAGATCCCCAGTCCTTTTTTCCAGTGACTGCTGGGTTTGAACCGATGACTTCTTGGTTAGCAGCTGAGCACTTAACCTCCTCACCACTAAGATTACAATCACAGAGCACTATGGAGCAGAGTTCTGCTCTGCAACACATGGGATTGCCATGTGTCCGAATAGACTAGACAGCAAGGGGTTTTGTTTGAGAGCTGAATCTGCTTTTTCTTTGAATAAGGACATTCCTCTAAATGAGGGCATCCCAACCTCAACAATTGACGTTTAGAGGTCACAGAATTCTTTGGTGTGAGACACACCATAAGGGTGTTTAGCTGCATCTCTGGCCTCCATTCCCAAGATAGCTGGGACTCCTGGTGTAGTTCTGTAGGATAAGCAGTGGACTGGGAACCACAAGGTCAGCAGTTCAAAACCACCAGCTGCTCCATGGAAGCCCTGCACAGGGTCGCTATGAATTGGAATTGACTGAGCAGCACCTATCAACAATAACATTGTTCATTAAAGGGGCACTAGTGGTGCAGTGGGGTAAGCATTCGACTGTTAGCCTCAAGGTCTGTGGTTCAAACCCACCAGCTGTCCTGAGGGAGGAAACTCCTACAAAATTTACCCTCCCAGGAACTGTGGAGCAGTTCTGTTCTGTGCCTTAGGGTTCCTAGGAATTGGAATTATTTATGTGTATTAATTGGATTGCTGTTATTCGTTTTGTAGCACTGAGAGTGTTCTATTGTTGATAATCACAGTATTACAGTATTTAACAGAGTAACATGATTTAAAGCTTTCTTTCCAGATAATGTAGTAAAATGGTACCTGTCGTGTACATACTAAATGTAGCCGAATACTAAAGTGAGCTTGTTAGTGGATACTACAAAGCTCCAAGTCATGTTGAACCATATTAGGAAATTTGGGTAGGCATTAAGTTAAGAATGTGAGTAAGACTGTGTAATGGT